GACAGTGAAGTTAGTAAAGACAAAGATAAAGAGAGTAAATCATGCAGTACAGACATAAAATCTTAACATATTCAACATTAGGGGCCTTTTTTGTGCAAGCATAGTTTAGCGGTATAATGCCAGTATATTGCTAATTTAATTGGCTGCAAGCTCATTTTTTCCCCATTTGCTATTTTGGTGGCCAAAAAATATTATTATTATTATTATTATTGTTATTATTATTATTATTATTATTATTATTATTATTATTATATCTAATGATGTATAATTATATGTTATGTACTGATTTATGTAAAACACATATATGTAACACACACACATTTTCTAAGCTGCTTATCTTTCTGGGTTGTGGGGGGAGCTGGAGCCTATCCCAGCAGTCATTGGGCGAAAGGCAGGATACACCCTGGACAGATCACCAGTCCATCGCAGGGCTATATGTAACATAAAACCAATATTAATTAATTAATTAATTTATTTATTTATTTGTTTGTTTATCTGTTTGTGTTTAAGTTATTAATTGTTCATTGTGCTATATTTGCCATTTCCCAACCTCATCTGTGCTGGGTTAGCCCTGTACTGTCACAAAAATATTCTAAATATTTGTCAGCACCACAATTTTGCATCTTTTTTATGTTTGTGATCATCATGAAAAATAGACTATAGTTCAGTTAATAACTGGGGACAGATCACTGATGCGGTGAAAGAATGTCCACATTACACAGAAGATGAAGCAATTATACACTTGATTGTTTAATGCTGACTGCTTTAACTCGATAAACGTGAAAGATCAGTGGCGTCTCTTGCAGGATGAGCAGTGTCTCTGGGTGTGGAAGTCAGAAACAGAGGACATTCACTGGCTTACTGCTCAATATGGGATGCAAGCTCTGCAAGAAACCTTGGGGTAATAGTGTCGAGACTTTCTGCACTCTGTCCTTGTGGTCCCCAGGACTGGGTTGAAGATTGGTCCCCAGGACTGGGTTGAGAAATGGACCTCAGGACTGGGTTGAAGATTGGTCCCCAGGACTGGGTTTAGAAATGGACCTCAGGACTGGGTTGAAGATTGGTCCCCAGGACTGGGTTTAGAAATGGACCTCAGGTCTGGGTTGAGGACCTGTACCAAGAACTGGGTTGAAGACTGGTCCCCAGGACTGAGTTGAGGACTGAGCCCAAAGACTGGGTTGAGGACTTGTCTCCAGGACTGGTTGAGGACTGAGCCCAAAGACTGGGTTGAGGACTGGCTTCCAAGACTGGGTTGAGGACTGGTCTCCAGGACTGGGTTGAGGACTGGGCCCAAAGAATGGGTTGAGGACTGCCCTCCAGGTCTGTGTTGAGGACTGGACCCAAAGACTGGGTTGAGGACTAGCCTCCAGGACTGGGTTGAGCACTGAGCCCAAAGACTGGGTTGAGGTTTGGCCTCCAGGACTGGGTTGAGGACTGGGCCCAAAGATTGGGTTGAGGACTGAGCCCAGAGACTGGGTTGAGGACTGGTCTACAGGACTGGGTTGAGGACTGGCCTCCAGGTCTGGATTGAGGGCTGGGCCCAAAGACTGGGATGAGACACTTGGCACCCAATTTCCCTGAAGAATCTACATTCCATTAGGAGCAATGGATTCCAAAAACTGGGAAGTTGAATTGAGGAACTGAGGAGGACTTCCTGACGAACCTTCGCTACTAGACACTGTGTGCCTACACCCAGTTTGATGTTGCTGTCCAAAAAGAACTGGTGCTCCATGCCATCTTACATTCACACCACAAACCTCTGCGACAACATCTCCAGGTCTTGACTGACACCCCTAGTAGTGGTACCTCAAGAAGAGAGTGAAACATACATGGTACAGATTACTGACTACCTGATTAAAATGGACTCTGTAAACCTAATCCACATGATTACTGTATTAAAGTAATGCAGTCTGATTACCTACTGTTATTTTTTTTTATGACATTTGTTTTTAATGATTCATTTATAATTAAATAAAGATGGATTAAAACATTTTTTAGCATGATGACTTGATCACATGATGAAACCTTCACTGTTTAATGAAACAATCTTGTGGGTGGCCTGTAATTGTCTGCATAAACTATGAACACCTGACACTGACTTTTTATTTTTGGGGGATTTTGTAATGTTGTTAGAGCGTGATAAAAACATAAGCAGCAGAATGTCTTCAAATGACAAAGATATCCTTTGCACCTCACAGGAGTTTGAAGGGTTTTACAGTCTCATTCAGGGATTGAAACTTTAACTTTAAACAGCACATGTGATGAAGCAAAGGACAAAATAATGCTTTTGACCTTTGCTACAAGTTACTAAGACACAACTGTCCAGTCAGCTTGGCTATTTATGTTGCTTGCAAAAGTTTGCAATCAACTAACAGAATGATACAATATTGCATGTTTGCCACTTGAAAAAGTTGTGTTTTATGTGCAGAAGTAGTTTTAATGTAATCTTGGTCTTTCTCAGGACATGTCTGTACTCCATCATGTGGCTTTGGCTTATCTCCTATGTTGGTGAGTCAACCTGCTCTGTATGTAGCCTGTACATTTACAGTTGTCCTGACTTGCTTGTAATAAATATAAGACGGAGTTCCTTTTAGCAGTGGTTCTCATTCCAGTTCTCAGGGACCCCAAACAATTCAGATTTTTTCTCACGATGAGCCAAATCTAGACACCCTGGGAGTCCTTGAGGTTCAGTTTGAGAACCACTGCTCTGTGGAACTCTAGTAGAATGTCTTAGTCCATCCAGCTCCTCAGCATAGGAACTGAGGTTTGTTAGACTCTATTCTTCTCTTTTTGGATCCTTTTGGTAATAAAGCTCCAAAGTGAGAGGAGGGAGCAGTCCAGGAGCTGAACCAACACAATAGAATGAAATTAAACCCAAATTCAAATCTTTTACCATTTCACTTAGGTAAACTGGACGGAGCAAATGTAGCTAGTTACTGTCAATCACAGCTTGCTATGTAAATGTCTGGTGTTGATTGTTAACTGTTCTCTTTCTTCCCACAGGCTCATCTCCACTCTCCTCAGTTGTTCACACATGGTCAGGAGTTGGGCTCCAGGCTGTCCTGCCCTGTACATGGAAGTCACATGTGGACGCTTCATCCCAGTTACCGTATATCCAGTGGGAAACCGTGACCGACACCGTGTTTGAGCGGATCGGAGAGCGGAGCTTTCAGGGAGAGGCCTTTAGGAATCGGGTGGATGTCCCTAAGGAGATGCTGGAAGAAGGAAACTGCTCACTGTTTTTCACAGACGTCCAGTTCGGTGACGCGGGGATCTACGAGAGCTATCTGGTAGTTGGTCAGTCAAGGATCAAGAAAAGGATTTTCCTCCAGAGCGTCCAGCTTTTGGTATTTGGTGAGGACTTGTTTTGTCTTATTTTAGGTGCATGGCAATCATATACAAAAGTTTGAGCCCCCAGCAGTGGTCACCAATCCTCTTCCTGAAGATCTACCTTCCTAAAGGTTTCACCTCCAACCCACATCTGAACCACCTCCTTCAGCTAATAATGGATCTCTGAAACCAAAAATTAGATGGTTCAGGTGGGGCTGATTGGGGTTAGATCTACAGTCTGCTGGAAAGTAGACCTCCAGGAGCAGAGAACATACTTCTGTTTTGTTTTATGCTTTATCAGTCCATTAACATCAGCAGGTAAACTGAAACTGTTCACTACAATTTGCAGAAAAATGTCAAGTTTGTGTGTAGGATGTGCTTAGTTTTGCTTAGAAAAAGATGGTTCTTCAAGGGTTCTTTAGTAAAAAATGGTTGTATATAGAACCATGAACACTCAAAGAACGCTTTGCATAATTAAATGTTTGTTTTTATGGTGAAAGTGTTCTTCAGGCTGAAGGAGATATGCGCTATAAATGGTGCTATATAGTGCCAAAAAGGTTCATCAAGCTTGTAGCAATAGAAGAACCCTTTTGGGAGCTTCAGAGAACCCTGTTCAAAAAGGTGCTAAGTAAAACCATATGCAACACATTGTCCATCAACCTGAAACTTCACCTTCCGCCAATCCATCCCAAAAATATTGGTGCCAAATTAAGAAAATTGTTGCTGGTCATACAAGATATGGCAACCTACTGAATCCTCCTCTAAATTACTGTAAAGGTAGATATAAGATGTATGGACATTGCTGACTGGTAAAATAAGAAATTTGGACCTTATAGGTAGGTTGTACAAGCTAGATGTAGTTGAACATATGTAATAAAGTAAACACAGAGTTGCCACTTGCGTGCCTCTCAGTATCCAGAATGTGTAATATAGGGGTCTGCGTAGGCATTGAAATTAAAGCCTGAACCTGATCTACATCCGCAATTTGACACACGACCCACCTAGGACTGACTGGTACTCCTTAATTTGACTGGTACTGCTAAGTTTGACACCTGACCCAACCAAGCCTAATTGGTAGAGCAAAAATTGTCTGGTACTACTAAATTTGAGAGCTGACCCAACCAGGCCCAACTGACCTGAGCAGGAGTGACTAGTATAGCTCATTTTAACTGGCACTGATAATTTTGAGATCTGACCTGAACAGGCCCAGAAGGCATTGATAAATTTAACTAGTTCTATTAAATTTGAGACCTAAGTGGACCAGGCCCAACTCATTCTACAAAATTTAACTAGTACTGCTAAATTAATTTAGCTGGCACTGCTACATTAACACCCAACTTTACCAGGACTAACTGGCACACTGTGAAAAAAGAAAAGTTGGGTCATCTTAAAAATTTAAGGCAACTTACTTCAGAGCTTTTTGAGTTACCTCAACCTGAACTCCTATTCCCTCAACTTGAGTTCACTCAAAGAGGATATGAAGTATGTTGGCTTGACCTAACCTTTTTTTTCCACTTGATCTCTAGTGTAATATAATGGATGTTAAAAACTCTTCGGGGGCCCAAACTTTCCATCTTCTCTCTGATGTCTAAATACCTTTCATATTAGTTGTATAACAGTTACTGGTTAAATAATGTTACGATTAATAACTCCTTACTAAGCCTGGAATTCATGCAGTTAAACGGTAAGCATACAAGCCTTTCATGTAAACAGGTGTAACTGAGGTAAATTCATCCTCCTTCTCTCTGCAGATCATAAGCTTAGGTGTTCAGTGGAGAGCGGAAAAGACCTGTTCTTGGAAACGTACACAAGCCATGCTGAGACGCTGGTGTTCGAGAGCAGTGAGGGCCCTGGGTGGATCGAGCTGTGGCAGCGAAGTAAAGAGAGAAACAAGAACGGTACATCCCGAGTGGAGGAGGTCGAGGGGAAGCTGGTGGTCAGGAGGATCAGAGCCAGAGACAGCGGGATCTACAAGGTGCTGGATGCCGATGGGCTGGCACTGAGCACAGTGAGGGTCTCAGTCACAGGTAAAGCCATAGAGATCAAGAATATTGTACAACACGAATTATCATAAGTTGGTAGATTTCAATTCGAACCACTTCTCAAGTTGTTAGGCCTTATCAAAGAAATATACTGCAGTATGTTGCAACTCTAAATAAAATTGCAATAATCTTAGTATATTACTGTAAACAAAGGGAAAGTTCTGATTTACATTTAATTACGATTTTGAAGCATTTTATCAAATTTAACTTAACTAGAATCTCTATTTTTAACTGTTTCTTTTTCCCTTATAGATCCTGCCCCAACCAAAGCAACAGATATTCTTGAAAAGCAGAGCGCTTTCAGTAAGTAACTGTATAAAAGTAAATGATTGATATGTGACAAAATCTACAGAACATCTACAAAATAGTCACATTTCTACTATTCATGCACAAGTTATATATATAATTTTTTTTCATATACAAAAACAATGTTGCTGCTTATCATTTTAAAATGTGGTCAAAAACGTATTCTTTAATCACCTCCATTCTCATCATGAATGACTTCTAAAGAAAACTTACCACATTAACCTCAATTAGAAGTTAAGAATGTTTTTCTTCTGCTGTAAAATTACCAGTTTAGAGATTGGAGGTTTTGTTCCGAGTGTGAGAATATGCAGTTTTTACTGTTTAGCTTTAGGGCAACAAAAGGTCATCATTTAGGGACGTCTGTCTGGGCCTACAGTTACTTTGTTATACAGAGCCACAGCCCAGATTAGTGATTTCACAGATCTACCACTGGATTTAAATCAAGATCTTTAATTCAACATCTGAATGATGAAATCTAGAGCTGGAGAACTCTAAACTCTGCAGTGCTGAGGCTCTTTATGAGGCTCTCTGTTAATCGTTGCAGGAGGATTTTAAGGTCTACTAAGTGTTTCTTAACTTAGCTGCTGATAGCTGCTTGTGAAATCAGTCAGATTAAACAGGATTGTAAAACATTCTGTGTGAAGATAAATATTAATGCAGTTGTATGTATGCCATTGTCTGCCAAAGATCTGTAAAAGATGACCATCTCACATTGCTCTGGCTAGCTCCAGAGTTAGATTTAGCATTAGCTCATCTGAAGGGGCGGTGTCCTTCACTAAAACCACCTCGTCATTAGACATGAAAATCTGCCACGTTGACGTCCAGTGGATCAAAGATTTCCTGCGTTTCATTAATCAGATTTTGTCAGTAATCTGATCAACTCGTTTACATGCACTTGAGTAATCAGATAATGGGAAACTCCTGATCTACGAGTCACACAGTAATCAGATTTCTGCTTTACAACCAGCCAATAAACTCACAGAAGAAGACGTGAAGTTAATCGTGATATAAAACTCAAACTTCATGCTGAGGCTTTTTTTAAACATCGCGCCGCTTTACCTGAATATATGAACAAACATCATCTAGAAGATGAAGAATATTTAAATCCTTCATTTCATCAAGCATGTATTTGGTTTCAGTGTCGCTCCAAAAGTGTTTTACTGCGTTTTGCAGCGACGCTGCTCACTTATTTCCGGTGCTGCAGTCTGTTTTCAGACATATACAGACTGAGAAATGGAAAGAAATCAGAGTAAGAGTTTACAGCACTGAGAAATCTGATTACTGAGCTAAATGCCAGCCTCTTTATTGAATTTCTTAATCAGATTTCTAGACCTTACTCCGATCTAAGAAATCAGAGTGTGCTGTTTACATGACCATTTGAATAATCAGATAACTGCAGAAATCTGATTATGGTCCGATTATTGAGTGCATGTTAACGCACTCACTAACTTGTCAGAATCGGGACTTTCTCAGAATTTTGCAAATAGTCATTGTTGGGAAATATGCATGACATGTGGGAAGCATTTAACCGGAATGTTTTCTCTCTCTCTCTCTCTCTCTCTCTCTCTCTCTCTCTCTCTCTGTCTCTCTCTCTCTGTCTCTCTCCCCCTTTCTCTCTGTCTCTCTCCCCCCCCCTCTCTCTCTCTCTCTCTCTCTCCCCTTTTTTCTCTCTCTCTGTCTCTCTCCCTCTCTCTCTCTCTCTCTCTCTCTCTCTCTCTGTCTCTCTCCCCCTTTCTCTCTCTCTCTCTTTCTCTCTCTCTATCTCCCTCTCTCTCTCTCTGTAGGCAGTGCCAGGGTGAACAGTCCTGCTCTCTGTGTCACTGCTTCCCTGCTGCTCTCCACTCTCATACTGAATCTCCTCTGAGACAGAGCTGCAGTCTGAGTTGACTGCTAATGCAGCTCTGCCTGGTCGAGTCACGGTGGGTGGAGCTGATCGACTGCTGATGAAAATCAGAACGAGTGGGTGAGGCAGTGGCTCAGTGGGACGGGGGTCCACACCCTGAACCTCAGGGTTAGTGGTGCCAATACCAGCTAAGGTACTAGGGGCAGTGAGTAGTAGAGATTCGCCGAGTCTAATGTCCCTGACCTTCCTCTGACCACTGCCTTTGTGCTCTTGAGCAAAGCATGTAACCCTTGTTAGCTCCAGGGGTCCCAATATGGACCCCATCTAATTGAGCATGTGGCTGACTAGCATACTAGCTTTCGTTTGGTCTCTGTGGGTTTTATTTTGTGAAAAGCTCTAATTATAGCGTTTCATTTAGCAATATACCTGCTAGGCCTGCACAGATGGTCAGGTACTGATGTTTGGGTGGTGGACGACTCTCAACCTTGCAATGATAATGACTGAAAACTCCAGCAGCACCGCTGTGCCTAATACACACAAACACCAGCTCAACGTTTGCATTCTTTAACAATAAATTCATTCAAATAAGTTCAGACCAGCACTGGGCATGTGCACGGGTACCTGGGTACTGTGCCAATGTTTGAATACTGAAATCATCAGGCTGCGTCATGAAAAACCTGAGAAATATACAGGCAATTCAGAGAAATGCTAATTTTTGTGTTAACTAAACTGTAAAGTGTGCTCATATTTTTAGTATAAAATACTGAACTTGGCTGCTACAACACACGTGCGCATTATGAAGGAAACATTGTTAAAGACGTGACTGAGAAGGCAGAGCTAGCGCAGCTGTATTGCTAACTACTGTAACTACTAGCTGACGTTAGCTCGGTCCAGAAACAATGAAAATACATTTCTCTGACCAACTAGCATGCTGACACATCGTCCACTGAGTAGAAAGACCTAGAATATAAGAAAACAAGTCCTCACCAGCGGTTAGGTGTACTGTTAGCATTAGCTCATCTGAATGCTAACTGCTAAGCCTCTGTTACTCATCCAACATCACAGCTTACTGATTTCCCTCAGCTATTTTGAAACAGTAAAACATGTTTTGACTGTGATGTGATCCAGACGCCCTAAACTTCACAGATGTACGACTAAAGACTGAGAAAACCTACAAACAAAACCGAGATTTGAATAAAACCTTTCGTTTTCCACCCAACTTTCACTGCAGAAAGAGCTTCAGCCTGACGGACAGAATGAAGCACTACATGCAGTAAATGTGGCTTTTTAAGCAAAGAGGCAAAACAACTGGAACCTGTTGGCTAGTTTGGATAGCAAGTATGCTAGCTAGCACAATAGCTTATTTAGCTGATGTCAGCTAATCTAGCTGAAGCTTTATTAAGTGACAGATCACATTAATTTTAAACTTAATAAAACTTCAGCTTGATCAGTTACTCCGCTAGCTAGCTAGCATACTTGCTGTACAAACTACAACCGTTTCAGGCTGTTGTCCTTTACACACTGCATTTCCTGTATGTAGCACTTCAGTTCTGTCCTTCAGACTTTTCCTGTAATGAAAAGCTCGTTATTTGAAGCTTGTTGAACATCACAGGTGTTTTAGTAGAGTTTTACATTTGTACGAAGCAAAGTCCTGTTGAAAAAGCAGCACAGACCAGTGTGAATTCCATGCTAGTCTCAGTTGGCTTGTGCTGGTCTTTTGCTGGTTTAGCTGGTTAACCAGTATGGTCATGCTGTGGTTGACAAGCATACCAACATCCAAAACACCACACATGCGGTTTTGCTGGCGACCGGCCGCACCGATCTGTGCTGGCTTTCCTAGCCGGGGTGGCTGCAGCCGATAACTAGATTAAACTACAATTCTCTGTTAAAGAGACTCAGTTAAGTCTGTATTCAGGTATTTAGTCTGTATTTAGTGTCTAATTAAACTATCAGAAGAACTGTTGACAACGTGCTGCACTCAGAGTGAAACCGCAATATTTACATGAATTTACATGTAAATATTTACACAATATCTTACATGAATATAACTTTCATAACACTTTCACACAGTACCGTGCTACTACCACATCAGGGTCACTGCAGTGCTGAGAATGGTCCACCACCCAAACATTACCAGGTCAACAGCGTTCTTTTCTATTAAATACAACTTGTGCAATATGGATTCAAACTCATCTAATTATATCCAGTTTTCTCTTTGTTATTATATTTCTCATAAAAATACTTTACTTTGTTCATTTAATTCTGTTTACATCTTCTTATTAATTATTATTGCATGATTGCTGTTTGAAATGATTTTCTGGTGTGTGAATAAATATGGTATAAAATAAAAATGTGTTACTAAATACTGTCTAATTACGTGCTCGTCTTGAATCTTAAAGAATGCGTCAACAATCAATACACGGCTCCTTTAAAAATAGAAGAACAAAAAGAAACACAGAAATCTGTGATCTGAAGATCGGTTTCACCTGCACACCACCAGGTGGCGCCATGAGCTAAAGTATGCTACACTACAAGGTAAAGGAGCTAAAGGGTTCTATTTGAGTGATGCTGTAGATCGTATAGATCTACAGTCCTGCAGGCTTCAGCTCCAACCTGATCCAACTGATTACTGCTGTCAGACGTCCTTCATTAGCCTGATTAACCTAATTCCATTTGTGTTCCACAATGAATAGCATTAATAAGCATGTGACTTTAGGAATAACTGGTTTGCCTGAATGCACTTCTCTTATATCTACACAGAGTGAAACTGAAAGTAAAATAGGGAATTACTGTGCATAAAATACATAAACACAGAATAAAAACAAGAGTCAAAAGACAAATAAAATTATTTATTTATTCTTGCAAAATGTATTATAAATGTACTATTCTAAAAGATAAATAAAAGAATAATAAAAGTTTAGAGTTTTTAAATTATGCAAAAATGTTAAAAAATGCCGTTTGTACACACACACACGCATATGTATATATGTATATCGCTGCCGTCAGAACCAAACCTTGTGTCTCCATTTTTGACCGTTTTTCAGTTTTTGACATAATTTGAAAACACCTGTTGCCCTTTACATTGTGTGTAAATGTCATGATGAAGGGACCAAAAGAAACGACCCAAAATGACTTGAAAATATTCTGGTTCCATTGACTTACACTTAAAGTAGAGTATGTTTTTTCCTTCTCCTGTAAAGTTACTATTTTGGAGATATGAGGTTTTGACCCAAGAACCATGAAATGAATGTATGCAATGATTAAAATATATACACTGATTAAAATCTTGGCAGTGAGTGTGTTTCTTCTTTTGAAAAAAAGGAGCTCTTGTGAAACTTGTGAGCCACTTTGAAGAGCAAAGTTTGGTTTTAGACGTCTCTGTGATGCCAGATGGATAGGTTGATTTCCATTTGATTTAATGGAATGAGTTATTGATCAGATCAACCAGGTACTGGACAATAATGCCTATAAATACTGGGCTTCCTCGAGGAAACGTTTGAAAGTGGTGAAGCCAATGCATTAAGATACGTAATGTCTGGGTTTCAGTCCTCGTCTTCAGTCATTTCCACTTTTAGCAACAACTGTGTCAGTGTGAGATAACGTACTTAAGAGGAAATGATGGAGACGTCTGAATCAAATTAATTAATTGCAGCACATTTTTCACTGTAGATTTCCAGGAGGAGCATTACTGACCACTACAATAGAAGAACCCACTTTGGTTCCCTTAACCTTTTCAACTCCTTGAGACCACTGGTGATTCCTGAACGCACTTCGTCATATTCTTCATAACTTTCATATTTCATAAGCTACATTCTAAAGGTGGGGGTCGTATGAGAGCTGTAACTGTCTTCTTTCCCGTCAAATAGATGGGTGATGTACTTTTAAACCCTTATAATAAAAGAAGCTGAACTTTTTTGCTTGCACATTTTTCCACAAATCTGGGCTATAAACTATAAACAGATCGGCGTCTCTTCAGTGATCTGCTCTGTAAAAATGACTTTTATAAAGTAATACAAAGATTTTTGGCTTTCAGCAGTAAATTGTAAGCATATAGCAATATGTGTATCATAAAACATGTTCTGTTAATTTGAGGAGAGCTTTTACAAAAAAAAATAAATAAATAAAATAAAAATTTACATTTATTTCATGCAGTTACTGAATAATTTGCCTTACGATTTGGTCATGTAAATTCAGATGGACAAACCAAAATATACCCTGGAGAATAAGAGTTTACAAACCTTTTAATGGATGATTATTTAAAGAACTAATCCAGCTTTGTTCTAACTAATCTGTGGCCTCGGTATCGTATAACCACAGATCAAGTATTCTTCTATAGAATCGCTCCAAAGAACACTTTTCACAGCTTTGTTGTTTTAAAAGGTAAGTCAGGACACTTTACAGTCAGTGTATTTTTAGTAAAGATTTGTTTTCTTGTTTCATTCTTGGACTTCCCCTGTTCCTCTAAATACAAGGGTGGTTTGACACCTCAGTGCAAAGGGGACTTCACAACTGAAACTGTGAACCACTGGTATAAATTCCCAAATCATATATATACTTTCATTACTATACTATACTATTTTACATCATTGTGCTTCATGGTTGTAAACACAGTGGTCCCAACAGCAAACTCTCAGAACTGAGATCATTAGTCATTAGTCATTAAATCATTGATTAACAGCCATTGATCATCAAAACAGCCATTGATCTCAAAACTGAGATCATTAGAACTGTTTCAAACACTGCACGGTGTCAGGTAGAAGAGGATTAATGCTTTGTTGTTAACGTGACTCTTTAGATGTTTCCCAGTGGAGTTCCAGTTAATAAAAGGTTTACTATCTGAGAGCTAACTTAGCTTAGAAGCTAACTTAGCAGAGTTAAACACTGTGTTGAAAATGAGGAAAAAACTGCGACCCAATCACTTATTTTAGTTCCCACAACTGCTATTAGCTAATAGGTAATAACTTTTTACTAGCAAACAGCTAAGAGGGAAAGGCTAGTTCACCATTGTGTTCAGATTATGTTTGCTAACTGCTTTTCCCACAGTCTGGATTTTTTCTCCTTAATTTTTAATTTCTGATTCTTATTTATTTGCTACAGTGAAATTCTCAGGCTGACCAGCTGACGATGAAAACTAGATGTGACATGATCATGACAGTTGATACGTTATAAAGTAATGCTAGCTAAGTTCCTGTCAGCAATCCTCACTGCCCACCTGCTTGGACTGTGAGTGGAAAATGAAAAGTGGCATTTTGTCCAATACTCTGCTTAACCACCGGTGGGCCACCTGGATAATGCTGAGCAAACAGCCAGTGGGGGACAGCTTTGCTGTCAGTGGGACTAAAGTGGTCTGCTATCCTCTTGCTATCTGGGTCTACATTGGTAATATAATATTTTATGATATTTTATGATATTTTAGAGCGTTTCACTGGCCCCTCCTCAGGTGTTTTTTTCTTTGAATTTTCAGAACCACATTGTTTTTTTGTTTTTTTTTTTCTGTATGCTTTTTCCCCCTTTTTCAGACTGTTGTCCACTCCCACTGGCTTGATAAAGTCAGCACCACACTGAATGTTTGCCATTGCTGGTCCACCTTCGGACCACCCAGATTACTGTCCTGCATGCAAGATCTAACTAATTTTTAATCTCAGATATTAAATGCACACAGCCTGTGATCTCAAAAATTATCGAAGAAAAATATTACTGAGAAAAATGAATGACTAGGCCTAATGTAAAACGACTGTGTTGAAAATGTCGCTGACACTGCGTTAGATTCACATTATTAAGTGGACTAAATTACAGTAGTTAATGAAAATTTGAAGGAAAAATCAGTAAATTAGACTGTGAGTGAAAAATAAGTAATGAACAGTGGCACTTTGTCTAATACTCTGCTTAACCACTGGTGGGCTGCTTGGAAAACGTGGCGGAAACAGCCAGTGTGGGGCAGCTTCGCCATCAGTGGGCCTAAAGTGGTACACTATCCTCTTGCTATCTGGGTCTTCATATGATTCATGTATGGAAACTGCTACTTTGGTAAACAATGCTAAAAGTAACACGGTCTGTAGGTCACTGCCATTCAGTCAGTGGCAGATTCATACCATCACACCAGATTTGAACAGGACACTTCCTCTAAAAGACTCGGTAACTGACCAATCACAGTCAGAAATGCTGGAGTGAGAGCTGATTTAACCTCTAATTACTGTAAATACAGACTTGGTTGAAGCATTTACAGTTTGTCTGTGCTTTCTTCTGTTCATATGTGTGGGTTGCTATGTGTCAGCCCAATGTAATCAACCCAAAACATCACCAGCCCAATGGCAAAACATTCTCCCAACCACTCCAACTACAGTTTTTAGTGGTAGCTTCACAGTTATTCTTTATGTAGGTACTTGTATAAAAATCTGAACTACTTTTCTATTTCAAAAGCCTAAATTAAACAATAAGCACTGCAAAGGCTCTTAGTCTCAGTGCAGGTGGTTCAAGTTGGTGTTACTACTCTAAATCTCCTGTCTTGGATCACAGTCATTGATTAGCCAATCTCCTAATGAATCTCATTTAGGGGAAAAATGCATCACCTGGGTTCCCCTGTGAGAATCAGCGTCATAGAGCAGTGACTTCTCGATCTGTTAGCCTTCAGGCCATCTCAGATTACACTAGTCTACGTGAGACGAGGTCTAGGCCGGAAGATGTCTGATGTTTGTAGCGCTTTGTGGTGTAGGCCATGATACTTTTGCATAGGTCACGTTGTCTGAAGCAGGCGCTGTGTTTTCTTCAGTGGCTTCTCTGAGATCTCTGTTGTAGACAGGACTGGCGTACTGCATCTCCAACTCCTGAGACACCTAACAAGCACATGAAGCAACAACACACTTGCTAACTGCCTTACTAACACTGCTTCATGAAGTAATGTAGTGTAAAATATTCAAAGACTTCCTTCATTTGTTTCATTTAAAGTGAAAACAGCCATATATTTAACATATTTAACACATATGTAACAGAAGCCTCAACATATATTATCAGGCTTTTTTCCACTGAAGTCCACTCTTTGCCTTCATCACAGCTTCCATTCGTTTCAGGAGACTCTCTTTCAGTTCCTCAAAGAATCTGCAGACACACCTCCAAAGTTCAGTCTTAGAGGCTGGTCGATCATTTTCTGAAGTAATCAAACACATTCAGTGGTGTTTAGGTCTGGACTCTGGGGTGGTCAGTCCATCGTTCAGCTTCTGTGTCTGATGTGTCCGTCTCCTTTTCTCAGTGAGGTTCTTCTTGATCAGCTACACATCCTTTCAGACCCATAGCGCTGAGTCGTCTTCTCACAGTGGAAGGATGGACAGAAACACCTGTGGATGTTTTCAGATCTGAAGCAGCTTGATTTTCTCCTCTCTCTCAAAGATGAAAGCTTTAAGTGCTGTTTATCTGATGGGGGCAGTTTTGGGGTCTACCAGGTCTTCCAGGTGGTTGTTAGGAGGCCCATTTTCTCTGTAGCTAACTGCTTTTTCCCCACTTATTTCCATTGACTTTCTTTTTTCTTACGCAAGTTGATTATTTTATATCTAATCTCCTGACAAAAATCATTTGTATTTAATGGCTGTTTTGACTGGAAATAAAATAAATGAAGGGTGGTCTCTGACTTTTGCACAAGATTTTTTAGCTGATGTGTTGTGAGTGTTTCTGATACCTTCTCAAGCGAATGGGTGCTGCTGGTGTCTCTCCAACAAATGTTTGGCATGCCTGAAATAGAAGAAACTCCAATTACAAAAGAAAAAAAAACTCTTAACAGTAAAAGCTCCTAATAGGTTCTTGATGTGAATTGATGATGTAATTTCTGATGTATTTTGGCATACTTTGGTGTGAAACACTCTGTTCTAGAGAAACTTAACGAGTCAGAGCTGTTCACAGTGGTGGTGATAGGAACCAGACGTCCACCTCTAAAAGCTCCCTCACAGAAAGTTACTACATGAAATGATTATTAATACACTGCCTGATGACTGAGACACTGTTTTATTATAGTTTAGAGAAGGTTTTGGTCTAAAACTTGTTTTTTAGGTCCATTCATGGTGGAGGGATACATGCAGGACATTGTGAGGCAAAATAGTCCTAAAGAAAACTTATTATTTCAGATTTTCCACTATTTTCCCATCATCATCATTCCATATAAACTCAGAAGACTCGTGTAGGTTCACTGGTGGTTCTGGATAGTAAATAAAATGTCTATATGTGTGTTGTAGTCATGGCGACCCCTGGTTCCTATCACCACCACTGTAAAGACATCTGAACCATTTCACACCAAACCACTCTGAATGATTTGTTTGCAATGGATGATGTGACAATCTCAATGCAATTATATATAGATCTGTCCAGTTTGTCTGTCATGTCTGTCCACTATTGCTTTATTTCTTGTTTATTTGTATTTGTACCTCAGTTTCTAACCACACTTCTCCACCCACTAGCTCCATCTCGCCCTATCACACAATACCAATGCTGGGAGGGTGAATTCTAGTGTGAGCTTCCTTCAACACACAAAGCTCCACTGCATCTTGCAGAGGATACACAGCTTCACCACTACCTGTAATACATCACGTTATATCCACAGTACTGTGGAGGGACTCTGAATTGAGTGACTGTAATAATAAATAAAGGAAAAGATGAGAAAAAGTTATTGTCCCCAGAAGAAGGTCTGGTGGTGTGGCCAATCGATATCAGCCTGGGTTAAAATATGTATATATTCCACAGGCTTAATCATATCTTAATATTCAATAACTGCATGAGAAACAGTGCAGACTGTGTTATTTTTATAGTTATTGGAGTGATGAATGGAATCCTGGACCTTCTGGCAGCATTTCTGAGGTTTAAACATTTTGAAAGACTTTTTTTCAGTATATCAGCATGTGTAAGCAGAGCTGAGTAAAAGGTTCACAGGAAGGATGTTGAGTAAGAGGGTACAGAGGGATTCTAAAGTGGGTGAATGTAGGTCTTTCAGCAGGAAGTTCTCACCTTGTGCCCTATAACAGAGCAACCACAACAAAATGATGTTGATCAGAACAGAGACCAAACAGACAGACATCAGGACTGCAATTAGAATCTGGTAGGACTTGGGATCTGGAGAATCTGGAGGACATTCAGCATCTTCGGTCTTTTCTTCATAATTTTCAGCATCTGGAATACAGAAGCACAAACAAATGGATGTATAGAATGGTCAATAGACTTGATGTTAACATTCCACTGTCGCCTCTACGTCTGTGTCTGTTGATTCAGATTCTCTTTTATCTTTGACTCAATGAAAGACAACAATGGCAGGTTTTGGATCACCTCACAACTTTCACTTACAAAGTTCTCCATATCTACAGCTTGCATGGAATATCGCACAGCCAGGCTTAACTATTGGAAAATGGGGGAACTTAGTTATCACGAAAGTCACCAAAAGACTTGCAAACCAAAGGAAAGAGCCCAAAAAGCTGCATAGTTATAAATATCAAAGGTTACACTTCACTGCTGAAGTATGGTGCTCGTGTACAAAGTGCACAGCAAACATTTCAGTGAACAGTTTCCTACACAAAGACGAAAATGAATACAAGAACTCAGGTCACAGCTGCACCCTTTGTTTTTTGCCATGTTGGGTTGTCTTTTTACGTATCCATCCAAGTTAAAGCTTCTTTATAGCAGGATTCAAGGAGTAGAACTGGTTTTAGAATTTATATCTTCCCGTTTGAGAACTATATGTCCAAGATTACTGAAAGAGAACAATGTGCCTCATTCACCAACTGTTCTTCAGAAGAAATTTCAGTAACACTTTCTATGAATGTCATGTTTGTAAGCATCTATAAACACATTTATAACATGTTATGATGCATTCATATGGCATGATAAACATGACTATAAACATTTATGAAAATTAAATACACTTTATAGCCATGTTTATTATACATTATGAATTGTTAATATAATGCATTATAAGTAGTGTTAATAAAATGTTATACTGTCAGTGTCAAAGAAGTCAGTCCCAGCTTGGAGAGTATAAAGTAAAGACAAATACCAAGCTAACGGTGGTGTACATTACCTTTCCCACATTGGGTAAAACACTGATGCAGCTCTAGTTTAAGCTCTGACATTTGAAGCCTGTAATGTGCTTTACTGTGAATGTTTTAGTGTTTCAGTAAATCCTTCAGTAAATACTTCAACTTGAAGTCTCACTCTGAACACTGGAGGAGGCTTTAGTACAGTACGCCTCACTTTACTTAGAGCGGACAAACACGACTTATGAGCTCTTATAATTTGTTACGATCAGTACTTATAATGTATTATGTTAACAATTCATAATGCATAATAAGCATGGCTATAACGTGTGATGCATTTTTATAAATATTTATAGCCATGTTTATAATGCCTATAAATGTGTTTATAGATGCTTACAAAAGTGACATTCATAGAAAGTGTTACCAAAATTTCTTCTTAATCCCTTAATTTTCACAAAGATTCTGACATTCACCAGTCTTTTCTTAGGTAAGAACAGAATCTACACACACACTCAAGAGAACAAAGGTGTGAACAGTTCTGCGCTTTAAGAACACGTCATCCTTTTTCTTAGGATCTTTCTCAAGAACAGACTTTTCTCAAGAAGAAACTTTCTTAAGAACAGACTTAAGAAGACATTGGAGAATGAAGCACATTGACTTTTGCAATAGTTTACAAATTGTAAAGAAGTGTAGTTTTTGCCTGTATGTTGTAATATTTATCTCTGAAGCCGTTTGTTTACTATATCTTTGACCTGTGTATCAACATTGCTTGTTGCCACTCTGCCTCACCCACATCCTTTCCCCTCGTCATAAATACCAATTAAAAAGCTGATTACAAAAAAAAAGTTTCAGTTGGGATGGTGGGTGTAAATGTGGTCTAGTTATGAGTCTTGTCAGATATCTCTCGTCATATGCTGTCACTATATTGGCCGATAGATTAAACAGAAAAGGACTATATATGTACGTGTAGTCTATATATGTATTACAAGGCTATATATGTATTTAAATGCTGTTTGTAATTCTACATTCATTCATTTGACACTAACTGAGCCCTGCCACATGTCCATGCCATAAACATGCTGAGGAAAATGTCATGTTTGATGTCATCAAAGCTAAAATCACATGCTAAGTTTAGTTCTTGTCAGCCGTCATGATCAGAGGTGTTTCATCCATCGCGGGCACAGAAAAATACCGGAGAAAACATTACTGGCCAATTGAGTCGCTGTTGCCAGCCAAAATTAACACATGAACACAAATGATTGGCCTCATTTTCTCCTGTCAAAAACAACAGTTTACTGAAACTGTTTTTTTCAGTAAACACAGCTAGCTTAACACAGCCTGATAATACATTTGAAGCACTACTTAGAAATCCTTTTGGAAGAAATGTTGAAAAATGAAATGTTAAGAGGACATAACTAATGGTAAACAGGACAAAGGCCAGTTTTGGTGCGTATCTCCAAAGAGGTTCAGTTGTAGGCAATAATGTTTTCACGTTTCCAGCCTGGTGAGTTTATTATTTCTCTATATATTTTATTTATGGATTGTTCTAGTTGTTATGATCTTTCAGCTCTGTGGTTAAAGGTTATATTGATGTGTCATTTTAATAGACATCTATTATGATATATTTTTGTGTATATATATATATATATATATATTTTTGTATATATATATATATATATATATATATATATATATATATATATATATATATATATATATATATATATATATAGTGGTGCTTGAAAGTTTGTGAACCCTTTAGAATTTTCAATATTTCTGCCTAAATTTGACCATGAACTTTCATCGTATTTTCACACAAATCCTAATAGCTGATAAAGGAACCAAATTAAACAAATGGGATAAAAAAATTAGACTTGGTCATTTATTCATTGGGAAAAATTATCCAATATTACAAATACAAATTTTAATTGTACAAAAATTATAAGGGGGCACTCACCTTAACATAATTTGATTTGATTGATTAAATCTGTGAGTGGCAAAAGTTTGTGAACATTTGCTTTGAGTATCTGGTGTAACTTCCTTGTTTAACAATAACTGGACAATATTGGACCATTTTTCTCAATAAATAAATGATCAAGTTTTTTTTTTTCATTTGTTTCTCTTTATCTACTATTAGGACCTGTGTAAAATCTGATGACCCTTTCAGTCATATTTATGCAGAAATGTAGAAAATTCTAAAGGCTGGCTGTGATAGGGTTCAGTTGTGCTGTTTATCTCGAGGTTGATAAGCTTAATGCTGATAATATGCGTTTTACAGCTGTTTTGTCAGGTGTTTCGTCATTTTTTTTTTTAACTCACACTACAGTTTGCCAGGCTGAAGGTTCTCCAAATTGCACTCACGTAGCTTTGGTGTGCATCATTTGAACAGAGGAACTTGCATGACTAACAGTTACAGACACAATGAGGAACATTCATCTTAGATAGGTTGTGGATGAGCACAGGCAAAAAAGCAGTAGTGGTGATGTGGAAGAGTGGGACTCAGGCATCATTGAGACACTGAACAGGGCAACGCAACAGAGTCCAGTCTGAAACTGGACCACTGTCATAGCACCATCCTGACAATTAGCAAAACCATGCCACATGCCATTACTGGTCAAGACGTCAAATATTATGACATACAATACTGGTAAAGGTCTTAGGCACTTAATCACATTATTTAAAGCCATTTGGCCATGAATGTGTTTTTCGAGTAAAATCCTCCCTATATATATATATATATATATATATATATATATATATATATATATATATATATATATATATATATATATATCCTTAAACACAGATGCATAAATACAGTAAAAGTAACAAGAATTTCTTGTACTTAAAAAAGTAGTTGATATCTTGAGCTAGTTTGAAGAGCAAAGTTCGGTTCCAGATTCTCCTCGGTGCTCCTAGCGTCAAATGGATTTATTGAAGTTCACCACCAACATAAAAAAAGCATTGCTTAGCCAAAGCAGGTATTGGATGATAACTACATTTCTAACACTTCAGAAATGGTTAAACACATTAGCCACATTTACATGCAGCCAAATAATCTGTTAATAATCTGACTAATGGCTCAATCAGAATAGAATACGTCTATGTAAACACCTCATTCAGAATAGTCTAGTCCGATTGAGGCCATTCAGAATACAGTTTCTATCTGATTGAATGAGGTGTGTAATCCTGTAAATAATCCGTTAAATAGAAGAATAATATCTGTGTAAACGCCTGTATTTGATTACATTCCCTATCGGAAAGTTTAAGTCCGTTCTGATCATGTTCGTCACGTCATAGTGAAAGTTTATACCGTTCAACATGGCGGAGCAGAAACTGGTCTGCAGAGGAGACGAAGTTTATGCTCTGATCTTTAAAAGACGGCGGTGGGACGGACGTCCATCTTATGTGTCTCAGAACACAACGTCTTCCTCTCGGCCTTCTTTAATAAGGACATGTGAAGGACGTTTTCCTGAGTCTGACATCATTTTAAAGCAATTAAAAACACAAGCACTGCTCACTGCTGCTCATCTCACTCTGACTGGACTCACGTGATGTTCGCTGCCATGGTAACGTTTACTCTCTGTGGTTCTCCACACATGCGTGTCTTTTTGGATCTGATTACTTGTAGTGAGCATGTAAACAGAGATTTTCCATCAGATTGTTGAGTACAGTGAGAATATAAACACATCAGTCTTAATCTGTAATCAGAATGTGTTCAATCAGATTGGTAAAAATCTTTGCATGTAAACACAGACATGCAAAAAAATCACTACTTGCATTTTATTTTTTTGAGCACATAAAAACGCACTACCCAGATAAATAAGTTTTTAAATGTAAAATTTTTGCCGGAAATGTTTGCACACTATTTGTTGACAGTTAGTGGTAATGGCAGCGTGACACTGTTATATTACTGAAAAACATCTGTCATGACAACTCATGACAGCAACATCTACCATGACATGGCTGTGTCAGTGTTATGTAGCATGGTTCAAATAAAGTGGACTGGGTTGCATCAGTTTATAGGTTGCGTGTCTAAATCTCATTTAAATGGAAATAATCTTGTTTAACAGAGGGAGGGTGTCCCCTTTCATCCTCCTTAAATCAGGCTGCCTAAGATTACCGAACATGAGAGAATGTGGTCTTACAGCAAAGACAAAAACACTCCCACCCTCAAAAGGAAACTGCATTTTCAAGAAGAGGATACAAGCACTTTATCTCCACATACGGGTATTTATCTTCACCATACTCCCTGCTGATAGACTCCACTGTTACTGGGGTGCTTTTAGCCATCTTCCTGACTGGATCAAATGAAATGTTGTGCATAAACATGTTCAGAAATATGTCTTCAGTGTGAAAATGTTGCTTACATCTATACCTAGCTCTGAACAGCTTCAGTCTGAACATCCAGTTTCCATTAACCACAGCAAAACATCAGGACATTCGGACACAGTTATTTCCCAGATGTGAATGTTAATATTTAGGAAGATATTTTCAGCTTTATTTAAACACACGGTGGACACCAACCTACACAAAGCAGTTTAAAGCACTTTCATTTCCGTGACGCTTCCATCAAAGCCCTACAGTAACCACATCAACCTCAGCCTGCTTTTCTGGAATAAACACCTCGTCAGCATCACTCATGGTTTCTTCCACTGTAGTCAGCATTGTGAATAAATGCGCGGATGTAAATAAGTGCTAAACAATAGCTTAGCCTAAAAATACATGGGCTAAAAAAGCTTGTTTTACAACCCTGGGATATTTGCTAATGTCTCTTTATTGAAACACTTTTGCATCAGCTAGACACATACAGTGCATTCATAAGCAAAGGTTTGGACACCCCACTCAAAATTAATGTTTTGTTGAAAATAAGTTAACACCTCTTCTGCAGCCCATGTGTCAAACGCAAGGCCCGCAGGCCACATCAGGCCTGTGACACAATCCTGTCCGACCCACAACGTATTTTAATCTTCTATTCATCATATTAGCCCCAGCTCCTGGGGACATTTACGTTTTAAATATTTCAAGTATTCATGTAATATTTCAAGGTCGACTACAAGTGCCTGTATTTTACTGTTGAAGTTTTTTATGTATTTTGAATAATGAACACTGGCCAGTTCAGTTTACAGCAAAACATTAATTAAAAATGAAATAAAAACATAGTTGTTCTCTGGCCCACAGATTTGCTGGGATTTTTTAATGTGGCCCTTTTAGTGGTTGAGTTTGACACCCCTGATCTACAGTGAGCAAATTTTAGTTCACAGTTTGTTTAATTGCTGAACATATCGGGATATTATGAAACATATAATCTGAAATGTGTTTTAACTTTTGCACAGGTTATGTTATGTTTTATTTTCAATATGTTCAAGTTAGTAAACATTCAGTAACTGTGCATGAAAACATGTGTTTTCTTTGTAGATGATTAACTTATTTCACTTAGAAAATCAACAAAACAAAACTTTTCATTTTTAAGTTAATCAGTAAAGGTTGAGATAAACAGGAGGCGTGGAGCATTAAAACTGAATGCTTTAGTTCCAAACTGCATTAAACAAAACTTTTAAAAATACAATTTTTAATTAGAGAAGTTTTATTTCAGGCTTCCTTATATACAACACTTTCGATTCCCCAAAATACTTTCGATATATGATCCTTTTCTGCAAATGAGATCAAGAATCTTTTTCGAGAGTTAAAGTACCTTCATGTCATGGAAAGGTTCTATATCAATTAAGGTTTTCTAGAACTGTAGGTGCAAAACATGAGCCTTTATTTTAGGAGGGAATGAAACCTGTAGGAACATATTGCCACTTTGAGGAACCCCCCCTCCTCCTCAACCACAGGTCCACAGTTCAACTAGTTACTCATTTGGAAACCAATCCAGACTCTGTGGGGGTGGGAGGCCCTTGCTGTTGAGAACTCAGTAGGGATGTAGGACTAGATTAGTCAGTGTCCAGGAACATGGTATTAAGACCCAAAGATGCTGAACTGGTTCCGTTTGCTGATCTGCTGATTGCCAGTGTCTGCCAGATGTTTAAATCTGATTGGCTGAGCCACATTCAAAAACATCGTAAAATACTCAACGTGCAAATGAGCACTCACAACTTAAACCCTGTATTAATTAATTTTTTAAAATCATGCTGCTTATCATCCATTGCCTGGTGTTAATAAATTAAATTCTTTATTAAGATTTGTTGTTGTCAGCTCACCACCAACCCACTGTAATGCATGGTCTTGAGTGGCTTATTGCTTTATTTCTCCATCCAGACTCAAGAAAACCTCAGACTGATGTGAAAAAGCAAAAAAAAGGTGACTGAATAGTCAATAAGAGAAAGGGAAGTGGTCTGTCCATTCTCAGGTAATCCGGTAAATTGGTATTTTTCAGTTCTGTGCTGCTACAGTAGTACAAACATGCTCAGACCCTGTGTGCCAGTAATCTCTCCCAGTACTTACCAGAAACAGGAAAAAAACAGGAACTACATGTCAGATAATGTGAATGTATCCAATCTGCAGTGTGTAAAATGTGAGTCACAGCTTTTGGAGCAAAGTGAACAGGATACTAAGTTATTACTTATTTTAGATCTTAATTAATGATTAAGATCTAAAATAAGTTTAATAATTAATGATTTTGTTGCATCCCATAAGCTTCATTTCATGCTTTTAACATAAACATGGTTAAACGAATGTAATTCTGAAACTATATTAATTGATTTGGCTCCACCAAACATTAACTTCACGTCTGACGTACTGCCAAAAGGTGGAGGTGTAGCTACTCAATTTGATGGTTCTTTCCACTGCAAATAACTATCATTTGATGATTACACATCCTTTGATTGTCTTTGTGTGGTTCTGAAAGGGACACCAAGAATATTACTAGTAATTGTCTACAGGCTTTTAAAGTACATTGCTAATTTTATTGATGAATTTACATATATGTTATCTTATGTTTCCACTGATTTTAATCATTTTGTTATTGCTGGTGATTTTAACATACATATTGACAATCCTAAAGACAGTTATGCCAAGAAACTCTGCTGTATTGGATTTTTTTTAACTCTCTCAGCTTGTGACCGGGAGCACACACTGTCATGGTCACACTCTGCATGTGGTTCTCTCAAAGGGTCTCAACATATGTGCTTTCTTTGAAATGTGGACCTCACCAAGGAAATCTTTAAAGACAGGCTGCGTGATTACAACACAATAATGTGCAAAGCTAGGCAATCCTTCTCCAGCATTATCAACAAAAATATTAACAACAGCAGAGTACTCTTCGCCATTTTTCAGAAACCAACAAAGTCACTTACATATATGGACCCTGATTTAGTATCAACTGATAGATTTAATGAGTTTGCACACTTTTTAACACTAAAATCAATAATATCAGACAAGCCATTAATACGTCTATATCCACCAGTGAGCCTGTGTTCTCTCCTTCGCCACATATACAAGATTGTGATTGAAATGTCCCAGTTTTGTGCTATCAATAATTAAATTTTATCATCTCAATTCATGCACTTGCAGTCTCGACACAATCGAGACCAATCGAGTTTTTAAAGAATGCGTTTCACTCAATAGCGGCTGACACACTTCAGACGGCAAACAGTTCACTTATTTTGGGTGTTTTTCTGAACACATTAAAACTGCAGTTGTGAAGCCTCTTTAAAAAAACAAAAACAAAAAAAAACAAAAAGCAACTAGGAGCAACTATTAAGTAATTACAGACCATTTTCAAATCTACCTTTCATTGGAAAAATCATTAAGAAAATTGTCTTTAAGCAACTTACTGGCTTTCTGTGCTTAAATAGCTGTCTAGATAAATTTCAGGCAGGGTGTTGGGCTAATCATAGTACTAAAATGGCTCTAATTCAGGTTAATAATGACATTTATTTACATACAAGCTCTGGAAAACTATCTGATCTACTACTTCTCGATCTCAGCGCTGCCTTTGATACCACTGACCATAAAATTCTAATAAATAGACTTGAGACCTGGGTTGGGCTCTCAGGAACTGTCCTAAAATGGTTCAGTTCATACCTGCAAGGAAGGAACTACTTTGTCAAAATAGAAAATAATGTTTCTGAAAGATTGCCGGTGACCTGTGGTGCCCCCCAAGGTTCAGTTCTTGGGCCACTCTTATTCAATTTATACACGCTGCCTCTTGGCCAAATACTACAAGACTGTGGATATCTGACCACAGCTATGCAGATAAAACAAACAGCAAGGTAAGACTACACAAGCAGACTGAATAAAGTATTAGCACTAACCTGCAAAGGTCAGTCTGATGGCTTTTCCAAACTGCAGCAGTGACTTTTGTCCTCGGCCTCCGCAGTAATACTGGCCCAAATCAGTCTCATTAACACCAATAATCACTAAACTGACTGAACTGCTGTTTTCAGTTCCTTCATAGTGATCCTCATCCACATTATGATTGAGGGAAAATGACTTATTCAGTTTATCTTTTCCAGCAGATACGAGCAGCTTCATCTCCTCTGCGCTCTGGTGATACCACGATATCTCATAATCCGCAGTGATATCACAGTGCAGGGTGATGTTTTCTCCAGGATGGACAGATCTGAGGTCAGATGAAGTGGTTTGAAAGAGACACAGTCTAAAGGTTCCTGAAAAAGTAGCAGAAAGTGTTAATGAGTCTCCATCAGCCAGCATACTCCTCCTAAACCTTTCATCTGTGGAGACTCATTCAGCATCTCCTTCAGCCTTGCAGGATTTAAAAATGAGTCTGCATTCAGACATGATGGACCAAACTATTTCTGTGCCTGAAAGCCAAAACATATTTTAGCAAAAGGGGCCAAAAATGTTTTTCTTTTGGATTGATGCCATAGGAGATTCTCTTTAAGGAGTTTACTTTTAGTGATTTTCTGTGCCCAGAAAGAACCCTGGTCTCCCAGCTAGAGAATCGAACCCAGAACCCAGACCAATTATTGTTAGAGAACATTTTTGGTACGACATAGAACCACTTTTGCTGAGAGTGTACCTGTATTTAGGGCTGTATTCAAGAGAACTTCTCAAAGACAAGGCCAAGTCCAGGTCAAAACCATAAGTAAATATCATTGAGAGCGGGACCAGGTCAATACCAAGTCAGAATGAGAGCGAGACCAGGTCACTGGTCGCTGCAGCCATTTGTTGATTAACAGTTATTATCAATTAGTAATAGCTGAATATTAGGTCATTTTTAAGTAAACATTAACATTTTCTGTGTAATAGTTGTACTTTAGTTAGCTAACATTGGCTTACCATAGCTAATGTTAGTTAACCAGACAAGCTTGGTTTGACTAGACTTTATATCAGCACTCATCTCTCTTGTAGATAAGGTGCAAAATGTGTGTCTTTGTTATCTTCTCTTCACAGGGCGAGAAGAAGCTTAAACATAGATAACAACCGGGTTTAATTTAACAGTTTGTCATTATTGAGAAATACTCTGATGATTTCACATTGATTTAATCGATGAAAAAGTAAGTAATATACACGTGCGTGCAAACGTTTGGGCATCCGGTCAAATTACATGTTGTTGTTGATAGTCTAAGTGAAAGTAAGTGAACACGTCCTCTACAGAGACACACTTCCACACATTTTAAATACTCAATTACTCTTTATTTGCTGAATTTAACACACACAAACACATTTTTAACACACATATTTAACACACAAATAAGATGTGGCCTGTGCAGATGTTATGGCAAAAGTTATATTTTATGTTCCATGTAGAGGATGTTTTAGCTTATTTTCAATTAGAAAATCAGAAAAACATGTCATTTGACCAGGGTGTTCAAACTTTTGCATACAACTGTGTAGTGATCCAGTGATTATACAGTGACTGGGGCACTGTACAGTGCGCAGGTTTTAGATATGACCCCAAATGAGTTGATTGTAAACCAGCATTTTTTAAATCAATTCCCACAAGTGACAATCATTAATTATTAGTGCTTATATAAGTAAACTCACCAAACAGAAGCTGCAGAACAACCATAGATCGTAGCTTGGCCATCTCTCACAGAGAGGATCCTCCACTGAGTCAGTCTGTATCTGTCACTGTGCTGCTGAGACCTCTAGTGTGAGTTTAAACTTCCTCAAACCCCCCACATCCTGTTCTTCAACCCAGAAGACCAGTGATGAAGTAATTTAGAACCACAGAGGATCTGCTGATGCAGCTAATTCCATTTCATTATCATTTCTTGCTCTTCCTTGTATGTTTCATAAACAGATGTTTATTGCTGTAGACAGAAACCTGAAAAATGATGGATAATTAAAAAAAAAACTTTTTCTTCTTTCTTTTACTGTAACCCACTTTAGGTTTTTAATTTTCTATCCTCTCCTTATCCCTCCAGTCAAACAGGCTGGTTTTGTTTCTATACCTTTAGGACTGATGTATGTAAATGAGCTCTGTTCTCATTGCCCACTTTGTATTGTGCCTCATCGAAAAGAAGTCAGGACTGAAACACTCCTTATAACTTCAGTGTGAATACATGAAGCTAAAGTGCTATAACAATGTTCATCAATGCACTCTTAAAAAAGATGCTTCAAGGGTTCTTTAGTAAAGACAGTGGTTCCCTATAGAACCATGAACACTTAAAAAAAGCATTTGCATGCTTAAATGGTTCTCTGCAAGGTGGAAGGTTCTTCAGACTGATGAAGAATGTGTTGTATATGGTTCTATATGGAGGCTTTTTGAAAAGAGTTCTGCTATTATTGCAAGCTGGACATTGTAACAGTAGGAGAACCCTTTTTGGTGCTATATACACTATGCAAAGAACCTGTTCTTTGCAAGTGGTTCTTTGAGTGTTCATGGTTCTAATCTATATAGAACCATTTGGGCCTCGTTCACCAGTATCTTCCTATTTTTTTTTTTTTCTAAATTTTGTTTTTGAGAGAGGTTCTAATAAAAAGTCTGTCAGATTCATGACGTGTTCTTAAACTGCAGAACTGTTCTCATCTTTGTGCTCTTGAGTGTGTGTAGATTCAGTTCTTATCTAAGAACAAATCTCAGATAAGAAAACACTGGTGAAGGTCAGAGTCCTCGTGAAACCTATTGGCCAACAGTTGGTGAACGAGGCCTGGTGTTTTTACTAAAGAGAACCATCTTTTTATGTGTACTACATCAGTGTACTACATCAGAACCGTATAAGAAGAACAAGTGAGGAAGAAAGCAGAAAAACAGTGGAATGAAAGCATGGAAATGTTAAAAACACAGTCAAAACATCTGAGTGCTGAAGTCAGCCACAGTTTCCTATGACAGTTTAGAACTGATTTAATCAGTGTCAACAACACTCAGCCCAGACAGACAGAAGAGCAACCTGTTTGAAATATGCTCAATGTTGAACCCCTTTAAAATCCCCGGCTTATTACACCCTAAGACTTATTTTTCAGTAACTACAGGGACTCCAATCGCCAGGCCTGTCCGAAAGCAGACAAGGTCAGAGACGTTCTTATTAGACACAGAGTCACTTTATTCAGCTGACTAAGGAAACCGGTATTGGGAAACTCTAAGAGAGCAACCAGACTGAAACAAAACTTCTTTCAACAAAACATCAGTCAGGTTTATTTGAATCGAATTAATCAGCCAGACTTAGTGTGTGATTAGTGTGTAAGTTAGCCAACTGTAGCCTTGGGCCCAGTTTCACCCCTAACCCCTGCCACTCGGCCCTCTCCCTCCATTTTGCATGTTCACGTCTAGGGGGAGGGTGTCCTGATTCTTGTTGAGATAGAGGGGGAGGGCGGAGGTTTTTCAGAGAATCTGTTTTCTGTTAAAAATTACGATAACCACTGTATTATCTTAGTTCAATGTTGTTTCAGTGTATTATGGTCCTTTTGTTCATAACAAGCATAAAAAAATCGCTAGTATGCTAACATCTCTTTAGCTAGCTAGCTAAATTTCCAGTTCCACCTTAAATAGTCCAGCAGTTACATTCTGCCGATTCAGGCTTCATAACTGCAGCTCCATTTAAGGTGGAACGGAAAAAAATGAACAAGAATCTGGTGAATATCTGACTTCAGCTTCATATCACTGAAGAATTAGGGGTGGGTGATAATAAATAATTGCCCCCCTCTTTGAAGATCATATGATTCCCTAAATGTAACTAAAGCCCAGCAGTGAGGAGCTGAAATTTACCCTCCTCTGCTGTCACTGCAGACTGGCAGGGTCGCCTACAGAGCAGCGCTAGTAGCTGTTAATGAAGGAATGCTCTTTTTATTTGAGGGTCCCTCAGATTTCAGAGGGGAGGATTTCAACCACTACTGCTTATAACTCAGTTCCAAGGGGCAAAGTGACACTCAAAAACAAGGAGTAGAGGTAAAAATAAGAAATGGGACTGGGCCTTAGTTTACAAGTAGACTGAATGAACTGTCAAGCTTACCTAGCTACACTACTAAAAATAGCACAGCACAGCACAGACCAGCATGCAGTCCATGCTATTTTATACTGGTTTTATGCTGGTTTAGCTGTAAATAAAAACACTTTCATTAATGTTGACTTGCACACCTACATAGACAGAAATCCGGTTTGCTGTAATTTCTGAAGAGCTAATTCGGTTATTGAGTAAATGTTGCTAGTCTAAGACAGTCAAAGTTGACCAGCTGGCATAGGGCCGAAAAAGGTGTCTACCACGCCTTTTTGAGGAGCTGCCCTACCCCCACCCCACATGGACAGCTCTTATCTGCATCTGCATTTCAGAGACTTGCTGAGTTTTGACAGAGATGTGGTCATGTTTGATTGGTCAGAACAAGGAAGGTCTTGGTTTGAAACAATAACAGATTGGTCAAGATAAAAGGTGAAGGAACTTCAGAGTTTAGTCAGAGGTTAGAAGGGCAGTGAAAGTGAAAAGAGCCCTTAGAGAGGGAGATTCTGTGGAGAGACCAAACCTCTGGTCCGGGCTCTCTAGTCAGAACTGTTCACAGTGGTGGTGATAAGAACCAGACGTCCACCTCTAAAAGCTCCCTCACAGAACGTTATTACATTAGACGGTTATGATTACACTGCTTGATGTCTGAGACGTTGTTTATCATGTCTGAGACACTTTTCACTTTGTCAAGTTTAGTGACAAAGTTTTGGTCTAAAATATATTTTGATCTATTCATGGTGGTGGAGGGATACATGACGTTCTAGGGTGAAACATTTCCCAAAGAAAACTAAAAACTAGCTATTTGTGCATCATCATCATTCCATATAAAAGCTCAGAAGGCACATGTAGGTTCACCAGTGGCTTTGCATAGTAAATAGTACGGCCATGTTTACATTGTAGACACTGGGACCTCTGGTTCCTATCACCACCACTGTAAAGACAAAGTTGGTAAGATTCTCTACAAATGAATTATTTCACACCAAATCACTCTGAATGACTTTCTTTATATCTAACCACTGAATTATGGAGAAATTTGGAAAAAATTGGTGGAATTCTCCTTTAAGGTAGTATTCTCAGTGTGGTATTTGTGTTATTTACAACATAGTTTATATGGCCTCAACAAACCTCTTAAACCATGTTGATGGTCAACCTACTGAACAGCATTGCTTAATACACTAAACAGTAATGCTTTCTCTCCCTTAGTCCTTTAAATACAGATCAATACTGCCCTCCAGTGGACGTCCAGCTGCACTTGGCTGATTGTATGTGTGATTTTCACATAACAGTCCTCCACATATTCACTAATACAGGTTATACTGAATAAGGCTTTATACATAATGAATAAACTGTTCAGAAGTGTCTAATTCAGGCTTTACTGAATAAAGAACAGGATCTTTATAAACCCCCAGTACATGCTCCGTTACAGTGGGCTCACCAGCTGTTCACACGAACGGTCCTTAGCTCCATCTAGTGGACTAGAATAAGAGAACTAGAATAAACCTTTTTCAGCTGGGCTCCTTCACCTCTACTGCTCTACCTGAACACTCAGGTCCCATGTTTGTTCCAGAATTCAGACTGGCCTCCACTGGGGGCAAATCTTTCAGCATCAGGGATCCTCAATCATATCTTTAATACTGTATCAGGGAGGGTCTCTGAGCCAGCTGGGCATTTCTCATAGTGGTAGGTGGGAGTAGGATGTGAAACAAGACATTACTGGGTGATATTATTATTTTCCACTGGTGTTGTGAGGCAAAATAGTCAGCAGAGAAAACTAATTTTTTCAGATTTATCCCTATTTTCCCATCATCATCATTCCATATAAACTCAGAAGACTTGTGGTAGTAATTATAATGTCTATATTTGTTGTAGTCATGGCGACCCCTGGTTCCTAGATAGATAGATAGATAGATAGATAGATAGATAGATAGATCAAGATCTATCCCGAGATCAAAAAAGGCAGTTAACAGCATATAAATGACAATACTGAACAAATATGTGCATATATTGGTACTGAAATACATCACCACCACTGTCACCACCACCATAAAGAAAACGGAGCCATTTCACACTGAACCACTGTGAATCACTCTGAATCACTCTGATTACATCTCACACACTGAGTTTCACAGAAACTTTGAAACATCAGTGAAATTCCCCTTTAACTGACTCGCTCTTCCCTCGGGACTTTTGCTTTCCTTCTCATTCCAGTCTTTATTTTCTTTCTCCTTCCTCACTTGTTTCGTTCTTTTTCCTGATATCGTCCAGCTGATTGATTTTTAAAAGCTGATTATAATGCTTCCGTAAAGCGAGCTTGAGTATGATAAAGGCATTGCATCAATGTAACTTATTAATAACAATAATTATAATAAAAAGTATTTATTTATGCAGCACTTCTTTCATTTCACTTACAATAAAGAGTGTTAGACAGGAATACAAGCAAAACATTGGACAGATAAAATACTGTAATCTAAATGTAGAATACAAAATTACAGATGGGACAGAGTGAGTCCCAGTTCTGTAGGCACAGTCTAAAAGAGGGGTTCTTAACCTTGGGGTCCCATCGTGGTTCCAGGGGTATAGCGAGAGTAGTGCTTATTAAACACAGAGAGCTGCTGAATGGCTCCACCTACAGGCTGTGGAAGACAGGATAGTGTAGATTTAATGTAAGAATTTCTATTGGGTGTAATTATCAATTGAAAACAATGATTTGGTTTAAAACACAATAAAACCCCAATATTCAGCTTAAGCTCATGTAGTATGAGTGTTTGCTGCTCTAGAAGACCAGCATGACAGGCTGCAGCTGAACAGGCAGTGAAAAGTTTGTTTAAAAACCACCAGAAGCTGAAATTAGCCCAAAACCTGTTGTCCCCAAACGTAAAAATCTGAAACAAAAATCCCACTAAAGATGTATTAAAATAATCTCTCTACATCTAACAAATCTTCTGTCCACTCATATCAGTCCTGATTACTCTTACTGTCCTTGTAAAAGCAGTCTTTTTTATTGATAGTCACCAGTGTCTCCTTACAGAGCTCTCTTTGTGATGTTAAGTGCACATTTGTCCTTCATGTTTACAAATGTTAGGAAGCAGTTTAACACCAGGATCAATATACACTCATAAGGCTTCACCCTTTTTACATTCATTTACTACTATCTGCCTAAAAGTACAGAACATTCTCTGCAGTCGTGGTACATTTAGAAAGTATCCCAAACACAAAAATTACCCAGCAATTTTATCTTTTCCCCTCCGGTACTGCACCTTCAAACTAACCCAATTTGGTGGGAAAATCTCAAATGGTGCCTGAAAACAGCACTGTTTTTCTTTTTATCTTAAAGTCCCTGCAAGCCTAAAAATCCCAACTGTTTTCCACAACACAGCTTCACTGTAGCAGCAGTTTTTAGTCTTTTTATCTGCTATTATTGAGCTCTACGCAAGGACTGGACGATTGAAGGACATCGCCCCCTTTAGTTTTGAGGCCTGGGGGAAGACCAGATACCCCCCCAAATAGTTGGGGTCTATATCTATTTCCTTACAACTATTTCTCCTTGTTTCTCAACAAGGATGTTGAAAAAATGAGTGTAAAAATATGAAGAGCTTAAAGGAGCAAGTAAGTTCTTTACTGGAATTTTTCAAGTATGATTTCCTCCTATCATGTTGACCTACCATGTTGGATGGCCAAGACGGTAGAAGGCAATCAGAGGAATCATAAACCAGCCTGAAGACCCAAACAGAAGACACCAGCCCTCTCCTTGTCTCGGTCATGACACCGGATTGATGTGTCCAGGTCTTGGCTCAGACTCGCCTCTAGTTCATTTTATTTCTAATGAAACAGCCAAAGCTGGCCAAAGTGATTTACAGCTAATGAAAGACAAATTAAAACCATTTATAAACTGAACAAAAATAAAAAATGAATCATAGAAAACACAGACTGACAGTACAGCACTAAGAATAACTAGAACAAAACTGACCAATCAAAATGCAAAATGCAGTAAGAGAGATAAGAATGAGAGATAATAGATAAACATAAAAGAAAGAGAAAGAACTAATGAAGTGTACTTTGAGGCCAGAGCAGGTAACCAGGTAAAAACAGTACATTAAGATACATTAAGATCATTTCTGTACTTGATGGGATGCCAATGTTGACATGCCCTGACAGGTGAGACAGGTGGCTCTTTTACTTGTTCCAGGAAGGAATCTAGCGGCAGCATTTTGGACCAGTTCCAGGTGGGACAGTGAGCGCGTTTACATGCATGTAATAATCTGATAACTGCAGTTTAGATTTTGTCACTAATCTGATCAACATGTTTACCCGCACTTCGGTAATCAGATACTGGGGAAACTCCAGGTCTACGTAAGTCACACAGTAATCAGATTTCAGCTTTGCTACCAGCCATTAAACTCACAGAAGAAGACGTGAAATAAACTCAATGTAAAACTCAAACTTCATACTGCCGCTTTTTTTTTAATGATGCACCACTTTACCTGAAAATATGAACAAACATCATCTAGAAGATGAAGAATATTTAAATCCTTCATTTCCTCAAGCATGTATTTGGTTTCAGTGTCGCTCCAAAGTGTTTTGCTGTGTCTCGCGGCGACGCTACTCACTTATTTCTGGTACTGCGGTCTGTTTTCACACATGCTCAGACTGAGAAAGAAATCAGAGTATCAGATTTTTGAATAATTGGATAACTGCAGAAATCTGATTATGATCAGATTATTGAGTGCATGTAAACACACTCAATGAGGACTAAGATGAAGCCTTAAAATAAGTCATGCTGTAAGGGTCCAGCCTGCACCACCTGCTGCCAGCAGAGAGCGATGGCTGCAAAGGGGCCAAAACTTCAGGGAACTCCAAATCCCAGAAGCCCTTGGGCTGATTAGGTCCAACCCACTGCAGAGTCCTCTACTTAAGGCTGTGGCAAACAGTGGCGTTTGTCACACCTTTGTAGATGAGTGACCGGTACGGTACACAGGCCAGGTGGGTATTTGAACAAAAAGAAAAGAGGGCAAAAAAGGAAAAATTGCCCCAAAACAAAAAAAAAAGTAATAGAAAAGGCGTTTGCTCCACCAAGAGCAAACAAGTGACACATAGTCTACCTTCCCTTCGTACTTAAAGTGGAAGTGTATTTTGTTTTCCCATTATCTGTCATTTCACCTTTCTAGCTCAGCCTTTGTTTGAGCGCGGCTTTCAGCGTTTGTTTTGCCGTTCGCCGTTTTCCCGCCTCTACCTGTTGACACCTGTGCTTCCCATTGGCGCAGCGGTAACCCCACGGACCACAGATCAGTATAAGGGCGGTTCGAGTCTGGCTCTGGGTCACCTCAACCATAACATCCCGAGCTCACACCCCAGTGCCCCAATAAACTCATCCAACACTCTTTCTCACTGGTTTTCATTTCTGCACTTGCGTTATGGGAGCTGGCAACAAGGTAAATCTTTCCAACTCAACAGCAAATGTACGATCTGTAAGGTGAGGAAACCCAGGTCAGTGCTTTCACCTGGATGCCCACTGTAAGATTAATGAAGCGTGAGTCAGGTCCTAGCTGTAAGATTTACAGAGGGGAGAGCGGTGGTCCTACTGTAATGATTATAAATAATACCACTCTCCCTACTAGGGGAGACCACTCTCCACTCTCTCTAAACTCTGTATTTATAATAATTACAGTGTGACTTCCACTCTCCCCTCTGTAAACTCTGACTGTTCACAACTCCCATATGGAAAAACATATATGGACATATATTTTTATGCATTTTAATACTTTCCAAACACTAAAATGTATTTCAGAATATATCGCCATATTAACCAAATATATTTAAAAGTATGGAGAAATATTACATAAAAATGTACCACACAGAAATAAATGTATGTAAATGTGTTGTATGTATTAATTTGCAAATGTATGAAAACAGCCAGAATCCTGTCTGATGCTCTTCACTGTCTGATCCCTTTAGAAATGAATTTGTGTTCCAGTATCTTCATTTTAAATATGATCAGATGAACCTTTAACATGACGAAAGTGAGTGTTGTAGGTATTGATACTGCAGTTATGATGTTTATGTGAAATACATTGTGTGTGAGAGTCTCACTGCAGACGTACCTGGTTAATGTAAAGTACAGTGCAGATCACAGACGTCAGTACATTTAGATTCATCTGTAACCTGCATTACACACAACTCAACACAGATAATAACAAACAAATAAATATATAACACATACAAATAATAACTTAAAAATATTTTAACAAACACATTTTTGGCCATTTTCATACATTGCAAAAATATATTTGATAAATACATTTGCAATCTATTTTTTCTCCATACCGGATGATCATATAATCAAACAGCACACCTGCATTTTAATGAGGAAATGTAACATGATGCAGTGAGTAGAGCCATTCAGTCTGGCCCTGTAGGGGGAGCCACACTGATTACGTTACATAGAGCTTCCTTGAGAACCTTGAACAGAGACTTCCTGTCTGCAGCTGAAGGGGAAGTTCCCCTGACACTGCATATAAATGCTCAAAATGCTTCTTTTAAACCTTTCATTGAGAGGAAGAGCATGACAGGATCACAGCAGTCAACACGGCAGGACATCAGGATCAGCAGGACAATAAAAGCACAACAAGGTAAATACTTTATTACATTTACATCAATAACAGTGTTCATAAAGCATGCCTACTGATTCACATGACTCTGAGTGAGCATGAATGAATGAACAGCTGTGCTGAACCGTGTAGCAGCAGCTAAACCATGTTAGCTGAGAGATCAACAAAGCAGAGATCCTCACTGTCCGGCTGTGGAGATGTAAACACAGTCGAGAGATGATCTACAGAGTCTAACACTACTGTACTGTAGCAGAGATACTGTAAACACTGGAGTAGCCAGTTCAGTGTGGTCAGTGATTCAGATCAGATGAGTCGACTCTTTCAACTCACAGAACTAAGAAGTAAAGTTAATCCACAAGTAAACACATCATGTGAACACTACGGATTGCATGTGACTTGCATGTACATACGTGTATGTGATTACACATTCTTGTCATGTATATGCAAAACAATCCTCCTGAAAAAAACATGGAAACCACTGCGGTTCCTGATGGTTTTGTAATGTGTTTGGCTTTTTAAATGGGTTGATATCACAGTGTAAAGGATCCTAATGGTTTAACAGGTGAGTCTACATGCATTGCATGGCTTCCTAATAGGATCTAAAGCTGTTCTACAGGAGACCAGTGGTCTTTACTGGAGATCATTAAGCCAGTTCCTATTAGAAAGCAAACCCATTTTGGTCCTTTTTCAGCAGGGTAAGGAACACCTGAGGGGCCTAAAAACCACCTGGGATATTTCAGATGTGAAATGTAGTTTGTCTGTGAGGGTCAGAACCCAGTGGCTCTTTATTCAGCAGCGGCGCATTTTCTCCCTAAAATTAGTGTGTATTAGTTTTGAACCCATTTCATTTTCAGTAAACGTTCAGTCTACCAGTTAATTAGCTCATTAACAGTGTGTATTAGTTTTGAACCTATATAATTTAGTCTACCAGTTAATTAGCTCATTAACAGTGTGTATTAGTTTTGAACCTATATAATTTAGTCTACCAGTTAATTAGCTCATTAACAGTGTGTATTAGTTTTGAACCTATATAATTTAGTCTACCAGTTAATTAGCTCATTAACAGTGTGTATTAGTTTTGAACCTATATAATTTAGTCTACCAGTTAATTAGCTCATTAACGGTGTGTATTAGTTTTGAACCTATATAATTTAGTCTACCAGTTAATTAGCTCATTAACAGTGTGTATTAGTTTTGAACCTATATAATTTAGTCTACCAGTTAATTAGCTCATTAACAGTGTGTATTAGTTTTGAACCTATATAATTTAGTCTACCAGTTAATTAGCTCATTAACAGTGTGTATTAGTTTTGAACCTATATAATTTTCAGTAAACGTTCAGTCCACCAGTTAATTAGCTCATTAACGGTGTGTATTAGTTTTGAACCTATATAATTTAGTCTACCAGTTAATTAGCTCATTAACGGTGTGTATTAGTTTTGAACCTATATAATTTAGTCTACCTGTTAATTAGCTCATTAACGGCGTGTATTAGTTTTGAACCTATATAATTTAGTCTACCAGTTAATTAGCTCATTAACGGCGTGTATTAGTTTTGAACCCAGCGTCACAGTAATGCATTACGTATTATGCTTGTTTTAACAGCTATATAAATAAATTAGACTGATTTATTGCTTTCTCTCATAAAAGCAATGGGTTTTGTGAGGATTATTTTTTTGGAATTGCTCTTCAGGGGTTCAGGATCAATCAGTGCTTAGCTGTGGTAGTTCTGAGAGACAGATCATCTAGAACAGGGGTGTCAGACTCAGCCACTAAAGGGGCCGTATTAAAAAATCTCAACACATCTGAGGACCTGAGAAAACGTTTTCATTTCATTTTTAATGTTGAGCTACAACCTGAACTGACCAGTGTTTATTCACCATACACAGAAACGTCAGCAGTAAAGTCCAGGCACTTTAAGAGAGCTTGAAATATTACATAAATACTTGAAATACTATTATAAATCTACTTATCAGCTTGAACTGGACACCTGCCATCCTTTCTTTTCTGCAGGGTCATTAATACTTAAGCTCGGTTTCTGAGCTGCTGAGCTGGTCAGTGTGCATGTTGGTTGACCTGCAGCTGAAATGCAGTTGGTGTGTTTGGTGATGTGACTGGTGTGGAACTGGGTAGAATTGAAGTGTGACCGCTGTCCCATAGACTGCTGTTGGGGGAGGAGAGCTGGAGCACACGTTACGTTGCAGTGCTTGCTGGGGGCTGTAGTGCAGCGCGAGTCGGCTCCCTGGAGCGTTCACTCAGTCAGTTCATTGAGTCGACTCTCTCGCAAACGGCACATCATGAACAAAGCGGAGTCTCGTGTTTTCTCGGCTAAATACTGAATAAACTGAGAACTGGTAGATAATCGGTCAATTATTCAATTCGAAAATTATTCAATTCGAATTCACAGAAACACCGAGAATAAACGGGGAAAACCAGTATAGAATAGAAACCAGTATAGTAGTTTCACTTTCACTTTCTGCTGTTAAAACACTCGTAACTCAGTCTGTGTGAGATGTGGAATGAAGCTCCCTCCAGACCCCCTCAGAGGAATTTACAAAAGCACCGAGAAAAAACGGGGAAACCGGTACAGTAAATCCCGCCACTTTTCCTTTCACTTCCTGCTGATAAAACACTCCCCCGGCTGAAACTCGTAACTCAGTCTGTGTGAGATGTGGAACGAAGCTCCTCCAAACCTCCACACACGGAGAACTGGACTCTCCCAGGTAGGAACAACAGCGTGGGCATCAGAGTGTGTCAGACAGTGTAGGAGGAGAGAACATCACCACTGTCTACGCTTCAAATATGGCTCAGTAAAGCTCTGAAGAGGCGTGACTTGCTGGTTGTGGCTGTGATGGATTTCTTAAAAGACCCATAGAAACTGTTATGTACTTGTGTTGGTTCCTGATGGTTTTGTAATGTGTTCTGGCTTTTTAATTGGTTGATATCACAATATAAAGGCTCTTCATGGTTTAACAGGCGGCCAGTGGCTGATTCTAAATGCATTTGAAGGTCAAAAGCGTAATAGAAAATTTCCCTTAGGTTTAATCTTGTGTGAGTGGTTGATGCCTGTCATATGACTCGTTAATGTCAGAGGATGTTAACAGGTCCATGTAAAACCCCATCAGTGGGGTTTCTGTTCAGTTCACAAATTTGAAGCAAATTTCCAGCAAAATGTAAGTAAAAGAAAATGCAAATTAACTGCAAATGTGTTTCATTGATTCCTGAAAATGAGACACACTTGAGCTGTAGAGCGTCTCGTTTACTGTGAATGGAGGGAAATGAACCTTTATTAACTCTCAATAGAGCAGCTTTACAGCCCTGTCTGCTGTACATGTTGTAACTCAAACAGTTCAGAGACTTGCCCCACTTCACTGTTGCCCACTGAACCCCTTCAAGTGTCAGTCAAGAAGAAACGTCAATGATTTTGATTGTTTCATTACGTGTCTTTCATCACTTTTCACATTTCTCTGTATCGATAAACCAACTTTCTTCCCTCATTCAAGTCCTTTTTTGCAACATTTAGCCATGTTTTTATTTTTGGCTTTCCCATCCAGGCTGACATATATATATATATATATATATATATATATATATATATATATATATATATATGAATATCCGAAATCATTTCAGTATTCAAACAAGGCATACAGAGTCATTTCAACACCTCTGCTCAAGTTCACATCCTCACACTCAAATTATCTGCAGATTTTAGAGGGAGCACAATTGCATTTGCTGAGTTTAACACTGAATAGGAATTTATTTGAATGAGACGACATTATTTGGAAACGGTTATGATGGACAAAATATACTTGGCTGGCAGTAAATATACTTGTGGTGCAGGTGGGGTGCTGAAGTGTAAGGATGCACTAAGAGAGATGACTCATTGATGATGCAAGACAAGTTTAATTAGTTTTACACTGGAATCTTCTGGAATCATAACTGTATTAGTTTTCATATGAATAACTCTGCTAACCGGATATTACAGTGTCATCTGTAATATGCCATTTTAGTTACATGCTGCCGTTTTTTTACAGAAACCTGCACATAGTCGTCCAGAGATGACCATGAACACCATGACCTCACTTCTTTACACTACAGTCATTTTGTGTGTTGCTGCCTGTGCTGGTGAGTGTCTGACTAAACTCCACACATCTTCTAATGACATCAACTGCCTCTACAAAGTGCTAGAATTCAGTGTTTTTAATACCCCTTCCTCCAGGCTCCTTTCCTGCACCCTCTCGCATCTTCATGTCTGCCAGAGTGAGTTCCTCAGCTGTTCTACCATGTGACTGTAGAAACGTGTCCACCCAAAGTCCTCATGTTGAGTGGAAAACCATCTCTGAGACGGTGTTTGAGCGAAGGGGTGGAGATCTGTATCAGGGTGAGGGGTATGAAGACCGTGTGGACGTTCCTGAAGATCACCTGCTGAAGGGGGACTGTTCACTGGAGTTGAAGAACATCAGACCTGATGATGCAGGAGTTTATGAAAGCTACCTGCTGGTGAGACGAAACAAGAGATCCCTCCGTTCTCAAAGAGTCTTCCTCCAGAGCGTGGAGCTCTCAGTAGATGGTAAGACTAAGATCAGTAGAACTTGTGCTAGGCTAAATATTTACAACCAACAGTTTAAGCACCTACTGACTTTCCTGTGGCTCTATAATCTTAGCTTTACTAAAGAAACTCATCACTTCTTGAATGCGGTTTCTTTCATGCATTACAAGGAGCTAAATGGTTCAACATCACACAGTTCTTCAAAAACCTGAGTGATGCTCAGTGATATTAAACAGGGATTTTCAGTGCACCCAGCACAGAACTCAGGTTCAGCTCCTCCTACAAGCCGAAAACAAACATGTTCCAAAACGGAAAGTCAAAATCCGCCTGTTTTCTCAAATTATTGACCTGTTAAGTTGAATTTGTCTCATGTTCTTGAAATAATTACTTATTATGTCAAAACCACATTGTTTTGACAAATAACAAGTCATTTTTTCCGACTTAGTCATTATGTTGACTTGCTTTGTGAAATAAAAAAAGAAATAAATATTTCCACCCTGATGATAAACAGTTTGAATCTCACACAAAGCTGGCAGAAATGGGCTTTTATACAACAACATGTGAACCAAATGAAACCTCCACCAACACAAAGTCTTATCAGACTGTCGGTAATTAGTGCCTCTCTTAGTAAATCTGCCTGGTAAAAGCTCTTTATATAAACCCAGTTGTTGATGAGATCAGAGTTTCTCAGTCTTAGTCCCTCAGTACACCTACATTTATTACTGTTTTCACTCAGAGCAGATTATAAAGTCTTATATGGGTATGTTAGACTGACACTCCAGCACTGGGATGCAGAAATAACAGTCTGTGTTTTTTTTTTTTTGCTTATCTTGACTACACATAATTATAAACGAGATCTGTGTTTCAAACTGTGATCCTGGAGTAACTGCATTATATTTCTGTGGTTTTCTGCTGTAATTCCACTTAATCAGTTCTTTAACAAGCCCTTCTTGGGACAAACTGAAAACAGCGAAACAGCAGGAACGTGCAGGGCAGGACCACCGGACCAGATCACATGTAGCCCCTCTGTGAAGACTGGGCTCTCACGGTGCTGAACAGAATGATAACATTTATTTCTTTTTCTTTTTCCCCCAAAGAAACACCTGAGGAAGACTTCAGTGACAGGGTAGCTGTAGCAGGTGAGTGAATATCAAGCCTACAGCATTTCTCAAACTCACACTGACCTACAGTGGCATAGTGACATAATTCATCTGACCAGCTGTGAAGACAAATAGGGTGTAATCTTTATATCTTTGTGTGTGGACGTCATTAAGAAGGATCTGAAGGATCAGATTCTGATCTAAATTATGTTGATGTGAGGACTGAATTAAATGTATCCATATTTATATGAACCACTGATGATCTTTTAATGTTGCCACACAGCTCTGAACAGATTAACATACTAAGGTTCTGTGGTTCATTCTAAGCAATCTAGAACTGAATTACTTCTCATTCAGTGAATTAAACCTTTTAGAGCTCCAGTTTTCTCAGAGCTGAATGTTTGTGATAAAGTCTTAAATAATGATTTTCCTTCTGTTCAGATCAATAATTACACTCTCTCTTTCTCTCTCTCTGCAGATGAGGCTGGAATGACCAGTCATTACCCACAGATCATAGCGCTTTCCCTCCTTTCAAGCTCACTTTTCCATCTCTTCTGAGAGGAAACACAGCAGTACAACATGAGCCGGTATGTTGGTTACAGCTACACTTACTTTTAAAACTAAAGATGCCTCAAAGAGTTTATTTGCCTGAAGAACCAAAAAGAGATCTGAGGGTGCAGAGAACCTTTTAAAGGTGTAAAGAACTTCCACATGATAGAAAAGTGTAATAATCCTTCATAGCACCTTTACATTATGAGGAAGTTCTGAAATCTTCAGAAAAGTTCTTTACACTCGTGGTATCGTGTAGAAAATCCCAGTTTGGCCCCTTTTTTTGTAAGAGTGTAGTTATGGACTAACCTGCACCGTCAGTGTTGTTACACCATTGAACGTTCAGTTTAGTCTAGGCTTGGGCTTAATCTGGATCTGGGAAACCGGAACTGTATGTCCAAAAGTTCATAGGGGGGCTTTACACCCCTCCAGCTGAAGCTGAAGCATTAGGAACTGTGACCTTACGCTTATGTACAGCTGATCTATAGGATCCTATTCTATTGGTCAGTGCTTTACTATGGAGATTAAACAAACTTTGTGTCAGCAATGAGTGACCTTATAGTATCTGAATTGAACTCATTGGAAGTGCTGTCTGTAAACTTTTGGACATATAGTGACCTCTATAGTGACCTCTCTGAAGATCGCCACCTTGACGTGGTAGAGAGGCTTGTGGTCCTGTGTGGATTCTGACGAAGAGCGATCTGACAGTCTGTGTTTAAGGTGGTTGTAGTTTATGGGAAGTGGGAACTGGTTTATGGCTGGTCAGTATGGTGATATTTATTGTGATAAGTTAGGTCACAGAGTGTGACACTGTGTTTTTCTGACCACAGTGAATATCGAACCATGCACACTTTCCCTTTGTGGAAAAGTGAAAGTGGTGTGGACAGTTTGACCACCTGAATTAAACCAGGCCAAATAAAACTGTTGCATTTTCTCCATCTGAACAGCTGCAATTGATATGCAAGATATTATGAGCTACTATATTATCATCAAGATATAAAATAAGGTGCAGATAAATCTGTTTATATTATATTTATAAGATATGAAACACTGCTTAACTTGAAAGAGCTGCTTGGTTTTAGACAAGGCAAAGAATCAGGCAGCTTCATTTCAGTGAAGGAGCTGCTTGGTTTTAAATGACTGCATGACTGAACACAGCGGACTGTGATGATTTTTAATGAATGCTGTGTCAAACACAGTTAAGGTTAATGTAGGATTGTAGTCACTCAGTGTGACGCACTGAAACGAACATCCTCGGCTAAAACTGAACCAAAGATTCCGAAAAGTCAGGATTTTTAATAAACAAAGAACTGCAGAGTAACAGGGACTTTTATTATGTATTATTTATTATAGTCAGCAATTCTAACAGGATGAAACTGAGCTGACAATAAACAAAAACAATCAACGTAACATGTTTGCAGTTAGTGCCTGTAAAATTCATCACCATGAACATCAGAGAACAGTCGCTCATCCAAGACAGCAACGTCCATTACACTCTTAAAAAGACGGCTCTTCAAGGGTTCTTTAGTAAAGAAAATACTTCTATATAGAACCATGAACACTCAAAGAAACATCTGCATAATTACAGGGTTCTCTGCATTATGAAAGGGTTCATCAATCTTAAGAACCCTTTCATGATACAAAGAACCCTTGGAAGAACATTTTTCAAGAAGATTCTATGTGGAACCATCTACATCACATTCTCTATCAATCTGAAGAACGCTTTAATCATACAAAGGGCTCTTTGAGTGTTCATGGTTCTATATAGAACCATTGTCTTTACTAAAGAACCCTTGAAGAACCACTGTGCACTTTTTCAGTTATACTGTGTGACTTTGACTCTGTAAGCTCTGATTTTTCTAAATATTTTTTGTTTTCTTTTCTGCGTATCAGGCGTTCCTCAATAACGGAGAACTGAAGATCATTTAAGGATCGAGTTCCGTTATTTTCAGTTATTCTGTTTTCTGTCGTCTGTAAATGTTTCCATCGTTTGATAATCTGAGACGTACGTCCCACAGGGACTTGTCCGCTCTGCTTCTGTTGTTTATCGTGTTCTGCGTGTCGAGGGGGGCGTCCTGTTTTTCAGTGTTTTCAGATGAAAATGTTCAGGGACTGAAATATCAGTGCATCATTATGTATATGATTCTCTGAGGGAGCAGAAGATTCAGAGACAGCTTTGCACTGTTAACCAAAATCAGTACTACTGAGTGTTAAAGTGAAGCAGGAGACAGTAAAGAGCACCTTTACTGAGAGTAAAACATTGTTTACAGTTTACTGCATGAACTGTATATGAAACATGGCTTTGTGACTGTGAAGCCACACTAATGCACATCTAAAAGATGTTAAGCTGTGCTGGGCTGATGGTTCGAGATGCCCTTTTGCCTGATGAATGTCAAATAAATCCAGCATTTTCTCATTTTTTTTTATTGAATATTTATCTAAACTCAGGATGGACAAGTGTGTGTCCAGTGTCTCATTCACAGACCAATCTAAGAGTAGAAGAGCTGACCTTATATTAGCTATTGTGACCATTACAGTCATGAAAACAGTATGAATCTGATCTAAGTCTTGTTCACATTAGTAGTGTTTTTTGTTGTCTTTTATGAAAGCCAGCACTGTTTTTACTCCTACCTTTTAAGTGACCACACCTGTGGTCACTTAAAACATCTTAAATCAATGTTGTTTTTCAGTTTGTCTGTTCTTTTGTTTAAATTATCTGTGTGAAATCTTTACAGGAACAAGTAAAAAGAATGAAGAAATGTAAATTCAGTTTAACAGGTTATAAATGTTACTGCAAATTTACAGCTTTAAATATAAAGATAAATCCTTTAACCATGTTTTATGTAAATGACCATGAAAGACGCACTGTTATTGGATCAGGGATCCTTTTAGATGTGATGCTCATCACTGATATTAATGTTCTGAACGTGACTGTGATATTGATGTTTGTCAGTTGGCAACTCTGATTCTGTGAAATGTGTTTGTTTTCTTCAATGTAAAGTTGTAGATAAATAAAATCTTATGTGATGCATTTAAGCCATTTGTCATATGAGTGATTATTTTATCATATGCAGGACAGAGGGGGCGATTGGGGAGGATGGGCGACTAAAAAACAAATAAAACTCTGCAAACTCTTTAAAAAATATGTTTTCAGCTAATGTTAATGCATAGGTACTTCATATCGAATTACCTTAAAAGTAGAAAAAACTAATGGTAGGATTCTACAATTCAACTCAGAAATAACCTTTGCTCTTCATAAAAAGGTCAAATGACGACATGGTGCAGGCCACTACTCTTACACGTCTCCATGATGATTATCCTTTTGATGTCTGTGAAAACATAATGGTGGTTTTTTGCATCATCTTGATCATGTCGTGCGTCAGAGACGCCTGTGATTTAGTTACTGTCGACTGCAAAATTTGACCTGAATTAAACAGACTTCATTTAGGCAGAATAAGATAAACACTGTAGTTTAACCCCCATTTGTCAAACACAAGGCCGCGGGCGGAGTCAGGCATAATCCTATTCAGCCTACGAAATTATTTTAATTTTCTATTAATATTAGTTTGTTTCACCATGAGCTGCACTACAGTCCCCAGCATGCACTGCAACATAATGTGTGCTCTGACCCCCTCCTCCCAAAAACAGTACAAGAAGTGATGGTGTTCAAGCAAATAGGCAGTTTTAAAAACCTTCCTTCTGGGGACATTTAAAGAGCTTTAACAGTGATCTGTAGCTCATGTAGCCTATTGATTTACATAAAACTATTTTTTATTTAAAATTATTTTTAAATAGTTCAAGTATTCAGTGCCTGTTTTGCTGTTGCAGTTTTGGGTTTTGGCGTATTTTGAATAAACAATAGCCAGTTTGGGTTACAGCAAAATGTGAAGTACAAATCAAATAAAAGCACAGCTGGTTCACAGGTTTGAAGAGATTTTTTAAGATGGTCCTTTAGAAGTTGAGTTTGACCTTGCTGGTTTAACGGCTCATTAACGTTAGTTGTTTTCCACTAGTAAACACAGCATTAGCTGGCTTTGTGGGTAACCTATGTTAGCAACGAACAGTGTTATCAGCTGCTGTAAGTGATGGTCCTAGAGAAATTTTAGAAGTGACGAGTTTGGGAGAAAAGATAGGACTGTTGTTTGTTTACTCACTAGAACTGACACTGTTTCATAGATAAATCTACAATCTTGTTGTCAGCCTACAGCACTCAACTACCATAACGCTAAACGTAGCTAATTCTGATCTTCAGATATTTTATTAAGTAATTTATTACGCAGAACACTTATTAACTTAGCATGAACACAGATGATCTTGGTCATGAGAAATCCTTGTGAACACAATGTAACTGAAGCACATTCCCATCTATTTCACTTTTTTGAGTCTGGCTGAGTATTTAGGGACTCTTCAGCAGTCATGCATGATTTTCTCACCATGGGGAGGATCAGAGAAAACACTAAATAATGTACACTGAGAATTTCTTATCTACATGCTTGAAAATGCCCATATAAATTCTTAGGGCAATAAATAAGAAGTTAAAACAACTGGAGCTGTAGTGAACCTGTGTGTATCATGGTTGGAGGTTTTCAGAAGATGGCAGCATTTTGGAGTCATCATTCAAAACTACAATTAGATGCTAGAGCCTGACCAATATGGGATCTTTAATACTGATACCAAGTTTGATATTTGAAGATTCAAAATCTAATATAATCTATATATTGGCTGATATTCTTTTTTTTTTCTTCAGAAATATGATATAAATATAGATTTTCCATAACATTTGTTGTGTGTAGTTATTTAAGAATCCTCACCAAGAAAACAATGACATAATGCAGTTTAAAAATAACAGGACTAAGTGTGATTCAACATATGGAAAATTAAACTAATCTGTTCAAAAATAAAAGAAAGTTGAATAAAAGACTTGAGCCATTGAGTACTTTTTGAAGGAATGAAAAGGTGGCAAGAAGGCTCCCGGACAGCCAAATGCAAAGTACATTACAGAAACATCATTTTTTTATATCCTGTTCTTATATCCTGTTTACTTCATCGCCCTCTCCCTCTCACATTGTCTGGTTCCCTATCAGCTTGCCCTCACAACAAAGCACACTGGCTTCTAGGTGCTTCTGAACTATAGGGACTCTCCAATGCAAAATCCCCTAACCTACACACAGCAAGGCCTGTCCTTAGTGAGAGGATTAATACACGTTTGTTTACCAACTTTTTAGCATATGATTATGGATTTCTTATTGGATTATAATAGTAATATATTCATTAAAATACTACATTTGTTAAAGTTATTTAAGCTAAAGTATCTCTGCTTTTGGGGGTTTCAAACATGTACTGCCAACATGGAAGTTGCAGAGTTCCCTTCAGATGGACAAACTAAGCAATGACCACACTCATCATTGTTACGATGTCAACACAGATCAGACGCTCGCAGATAAATGGACAAGGTTGAAGTTTCCTTGAGGTTTGGATAGATGTACAGAGGGCGTAGTCAAAACAGGCGAGGGTCAGAACCAGAGAGCTAGAAAACCAAAACAAACGGGACATCCAGAGAGTGGTCAAAACCAGTCTGAGTTCCAAAACCAAATCTCATACAAATCCAGCGAACACACCAAAAAAGGGCAAAGACAAAAAGGGCAGGTCAGAAATACGAAAAAACAGGTCATACACGAAAGAACTTGCAAACAAAGACCACTCAGTACGCAACGCAAAAGTGTTGGCAATACTTCGCAAAGTTCAGAGCTAAAGCACAGGCTTTATATACAAACTGGCTAATAAACTGTGATGAAAAACTCTGGTGAAGAATTCTGGTGAGGCTGAACGCTGAAAGGATTGTTCATTGGTTGATGGCGGTGGAGTAGGAGTCACGTGGTCTCCCACTGATTCATGGGAGTTGGAGTCCTCTGGGCCGTTCAATTAGATTACGTGCTGGAACATAAACAGACAGACACTCTGTGATGTAAGCAGGTGCCAGGTCATTTTGAGCTTTAAAGACTGGTAGCAGAACCTTGAAATCTATCCTGAATGATACAGGCAGCCAGTGCAGTTCTTTCAAAATGGGACTGATCTGATCTCTCTGTGTTGTTTTTGTTAGGATGCGCGCTGCTGCATTTTGTACGAGTTGTAAGGTATGTGTAGTTTTTTTTTAATGAAGTCCAGTAAGAAGATCATTACAGTGATCAACTCTGCTGTAACAAATGCATGAACAAGTTTCTCTGCGTCGCTCTGAGAGAGAAAAGGCTTTAGCAATATTTCTTAAATGATCAAAAGCTACTTTAGTGACCGTGTTTACATGTGGGGTAAAACAGAGCTCAGCGTCTAAGATCACACCCAGGTTTCGTACTTCAGGTTTGGTAGATGAAGCTAAAGAACCAAGTTTCTCATAAATCATTTTTCTCTGAGTTTCTGTACCAATGATCAATATTTCAGTTTTTTCATGATTTAATTGTAGAAAATTTTGCGACATCCACTAAGAACTATCTGACACACAGCTGGTCAGTCTGTCTACAGAGTCTTGATCTTCAGAAGGAATAGAAATGTATAGCTGGGTGTCGTCAGCATAGCTATGAAAATTTATACTATGCTAACAATTGAAGATAACAATTTATCTGCAATTGGCTCATATTGGACAATAATATCGGCATTCCAATTTATCTGTCGGGTTTTATTAGATGGCATCTACATAGCAAGAACTATTTGTAAGGTGCCAGAAGAAAATCTTTTCTTTCATCTAATCACAAATTTAAATGCCCATAATTTGCTAGACACTGCTGAAACTTTGCCTGGATCCAGGTTCTGCAGTCAGAGATGATGTACGTGGTTTAAGCTAAAACTGAACATAACACAGACCAGAATGAAGTGTTAATAACAGGAAAGAGGTGTTGTTATTTCCTACCATAATAACAAACCACAGCCCAAAACTAATCAAAATCAAAAGAAAATACACCGATCTTCCCTAATGAGTGTTTTTTAGACTCCAGGCATAAGATACCAGAAGATAAAAGAATGAGATAAAAGGAAATAACAGCCACACCTACATTTCCTGTAAAGACATACTGGTGTAACATCTGTTTGGACAGCTTATAGGAAAATACCAAGTTATCTTGACATGCTCAAACAACAGGAACACCCTTTTGGTGGGATGTCACCACACAAAAAAACAGAAACAGCAAAGGAAGAGGAGGAGACTAGCAGCACTAGTACACGTCCTGTGACATAAACAATACTGTAAAACCAGTCAAGTGCAGGACAAGAAAGGGGATGAAAGACAAGACATTAAAAACCCACATACTTACAAGTAGTTACCTGAGAAATGTAGAAATGGTACACTATATTTCCAAAAGTATTCTGTCGTCTGCCTTCACACGCATATGAACTTGGGTGACATCCCATTCTTAATCCATAGGGTTTAATATGATGTCGGCCCACCCTGTGCAGCTATAACAGCTTCAACTCTTCTGGGAAGGCTTTCCACAAGGTTTAGGAGTGTTTATGGGAATTTTTGACCATTCTTCCAGAAGCGCATTTGTGAGGTCAGACACTGATGTTGGACGAGAAGGCCTGGCTCACAGTCTCCGCTCTAATTCATCCCAAAGGTGTTCTGTCGGGTTCGCAGTCATGCTGGAACAGGAAGGGGCCGTCCCCAAACTGTTCACACAAAGTTGGGAGCATGAAATTGTCCAAAATCTCTTGGTGCTGAAGCTTTAAGAGTTCCTTTCACTGAAAAACAACCCCACACCATAATCCCCCCTCCACCAAACTTTACACTTGGCACAATGCAGTCAGACAAGTACCGTTCTCCTGGCAACCGCCAAACCCAGACTCATCCATCGGACTGCCAGACGGAGAAGCGTGATTGGTCACTCCAGAGAACCCGTCTCCACTGCTCTAGAGTCCAGTGGCGGCGCTTTACACCACTGCATTCGACGCTTTGCATTGCGCTTGGTGATGTAAGGCTTGGATGCAGCTGCTCGGCCATGG